ACCCTAAACCCTTTTTGCGCTTTCCGAGCATGTCTGGGAGTCGGGACACTACGCACCGTGGCCCTGCACCACCTTACACCCTAACGATAAATAGTCCTCTAATGCTTCAGAGAGGCAGTTTGGAGCAGCCACCAACAACCCGAAACCCTAAACCCTGAACCCTAAACCGCCTGAACCCTAAACCCTAAACCCTAAACCCTAAACCCTAAACCCAACCCTAAACCCTAAACCCTAAACCCTAAACCCTAAACCCTACACTTCAGACCTCCGAGAGTCGGCTCTGCATGGGGCGCCGGTACCCTGATCCTTTCTTTAAACGCCACATCACGAAGGGGAGTTAGGGTTTTGGGTTTTGGGTTTCGGGTTTCGGGTTTAGGGTTTAGGGTTTAGGGTTTAGGGTTTAGGGTTTAGGGTTTAGGGTTTAGGGTTTAGGGTAAGGGGTTTGCGTATGGGAAGAGAGCTCTGCCTAAACATCGTCCGAAAAATGTTTTGCCCCTGATGCCCCTTGAAAACCTCATTACCTAGAGTTGTCAGGGTTTAGGGTTTAGGGTTCAACCCTTGAACCCTAAACCCGTAAAGCCCTACAGACATTCTCCAAACAGCAGGGCCGCGCCTGCAGCTTCAGCGCCGCCCAGGTCTCCGCGCCGGTTGGGGGGGAGGGGTTGGGCTAGGGTTTAGGGTTTAGGGTTTAGGGTTTAGGGTTTAGGGTGTAGGGTTTAGGGTTTAGGGTTCAGGGTGAAGGCTGCAGGCTTTGGAGGTTTCGGGATGTAGGGTTTGGGCTTCATAGGAAGTATGTGGGGTTTTGGGATTTGGGGTTTCACCCTAAGCCCCTGACAACCCAAACCCTTTAACCCCCCCAATTGTTTTTTTTCCCAAAGCCTCGGGACAATACCGGCCTCCAGGAGTGCAGACGACCGAAAGTCCGCACTGGCCACGTCAACGGCCCGGCACTAAGAACCCCAACTCTGACGGCTTAGGCCCTGACGAATCCCGAGCCGTAAGCCTCAAACCTGCCATCCGTCGACCCTGGACACCCCTAAGTTCCCTAAGCTGGGCATTCGGGTTCGGAGTTTGGGGTTTGCGGTTAGGGATTAGGGTTTAGGGTCAGGGTCTTTTAGGTTCTAAACCGTGAAGCCAACACAGGGGATTTGGGGTTGTGAGGCCGAGAGAAAAAAAAGACTCTCTGAATGTCTGTATGGATGTCCGTCATTTGTTTCGCATTTGGGGTTTGGTTGCTGAGGTTTGTGAGTCCAGTTGGCTGCAGGAAACTCACTTGCCCAGTAGTAGAGAAAACCTTGTTCCCCTTAGAACAGAAAAAACTCAGCCAGCAAGGAAAGTCAGAGCGAGGTGGGAAGGTGCAGCATGCCCCAAAATCCAAGGGGCAAAGTTGTCCCGCAAGCTGTTGGGGCATGTCTTTGCGGAAAAACGTAGTCTCTAAGTTATAAGCCCTACACCCTTCCTTCAGTGGCTTGGGCTGTTTGACAGAAGCACCGGCGGGCCCCACCTGAAACCCACCCCAACTAATACCCTGCCCTAAGCACTACTGTAGTCACTAGACCCCATACAGCTGTTTCAGCCCTAAGCAAACCCTGAACCCCAAACCCCAAACCCTAACCCTAAACCCTAAACCCTAAACCCTGAACCCTGAACCCTGAACCCTGAACCCTGAACCCTGAACCCTGAACCCTATACCCTCGTGGCCCCATCTCCCCTCTCAGGTCATGACCAGCTCGGCCGCAGCGAACCTTGGCCCAGCTGGCTCTCCAGGGCTGCAGGGGATCCAGGGGGTTGTTTTGGGATCATTCTTAGTGGGTCGCTGAGGCACAGGGCTTAAGGATTCTAAACCCCAAACCCTAAACCCTAAACCCTCGGTCCAAGCCTTCAGTAGCTAGGTTCACACCTACCAGCGAGCCTCAAAAGAATCAGCGGCATGCCTGGTGGTTGAGCTGAGGACTCTAGGTGCGCTGTCAGCGCCGAAAGCACGACCAAAGGAGCCAGCCCTGTTCGGTTGTTCGGGCTTTCGAGGGTTTAGGGTTTAGGGTTTAGGGCCTGTTTAGGGTTTAGGGTTTGGGGTTTAGGGTTTAGGGTTTAGGGTTTAGGTTTTGGGGTTTAGGGTTTAGGGTTTAGGGTTTGGGGTACTAGAGGTTTGGGTATGTTAGGGTCTCAGGGTTTAGGGTTTTTCAGTCTGCGGGTTTACAGTGGCTGGTGTTTCCTTTATCTGCGTGTCAGATCGCCATGTTCATGTCTCACACATTGCACTCTGGGGATTGTGTGGATGGTAAGCTAAGAGCAGGCAAGAACTCTACCACTGGCAGGAGGCTCCTTCTGCCCCGGCATCCACACAGGCTGGGGCCGTGCTCGCCGCTACAGTTGAAGTTATCGCGGTTTTGCCTTTATGCATCCATTCTACATATTCACACCCAAACGGTGCCTCTGTATTTACTGTCTCTGTACCTAAGGTAGCCCACAACAATCTAACCGGGTCTCTCCTTGGCTCTCCTTGACTCCCTCAACCCGGTGCTCGTGTTGTGCAGACAAATAGATGGAATCGGGAGAAGGAGCAAAGGTTTCTTGCCTCTTGGGGTTTAGGCTTTGGGGTTCAGGGTTCAGTGTTTGGGGTTTGGGCTTTAGGGTTTAGGGTTTAAGGGGGCATCCTCCTGAGGATAAACAGCTTTGGGGTGGCTTCCTTCGATTCTTGCTTACTTCTACAAGAAGGCGCCAGAAGAGCAACGAAGCGTCTTACTGACCAATCCTGCACCTTCGTCTTTGAATCGTTCTAAATCCTTAAAGTCCCGGCCCTAAACCCTGACCCGAAACACCGAAACAGTACGCCTCGAACCATTCGTCGGCGTTGCGGCTCAAGCTCTGCACTCTGAACATGGAAGCTGCTCTAAGGACTGACGCAGCTTTGAAACTCCTGTTTAGAGTCTTTCAAGGCCCGAAAGCTAGTAGAAGAGAGCTCGAAGACCGCCACTCATTTCCTAAACCCGAAACCCTCAACCCTAAACCCCAAGCCCTAAACCCTAAACAGCCTATAAGGTGTCTTTGACTGTACGGCCAAGGCCGTAGCCCTGTTCGGAACACGGCACTGCTGGGATACCTGCCACGTCAAACATGACATGTAGGGTTGTTTAGGGCCTTAGAGGTTTAGGCCTTCGGGTAGTTTAGAGATTTACAGGCTTCAGGCTAGGGCTTTCGGAGGTTCGTCAGCTCTAGGCCATAGCCCTAAACCCTAAACCCTAAACCCTAAACCCTAAACCCTAGACCCTAGACCCTAAACTTGCCTAAACCCTAAACCGCAAAACCGCAAAACCGCAAAACCCACGCTCACGCCTTGTGCTCGGATGAAGCGGCGGGCAGACAACGCGAGCCCTGCCGAGGCAGCCATGTGTTCCATCCTAAACCCTAAACCCTAAATCCTAAACTCTAAACCCTAAACCCTAAGCCTAAACCCAAAATCTAAACCCGAAACCCTAGATCCGAAACCCTTCCTTCTCAAGGCCTTATACGACAAACCCCTTTGACACCTAAACGCCCATGTTTTAGAATTTTGTATGCAAAGGCCATAACCCTACACCCTGAACCCCCAAACCCAACCGCTACACACCCCTCCAAACAACAAAGCCCAAAGCCCTTAGACCCAAAAAATCCGAAGCCTTGACTGGTACGAAGCCAAAGCCCACTCTAGGGTTGTTGAGCTTAGAGTGCAGCTATCAGGTACCTTTATTTCCGCATTTTGGGGGGGTGTAGGTGCCCTGAGAAAGCCATTAGTTCAGAATACATCACCGGGAAACCTCGTGCCCTAAAGCCCGAAGCCCCTTGAAACTCACTAAATTCACAACCCGAACCTCTAAAACCCCAAGCCCCAAACCCCCGAAACTCCGAAGCCTTTGCTAAATCCAAACCCTTAAATCCCTCGTCAAAACCCACAACCCACAGCCTGAAAGCCTCATCTCTGAAACCCTTAACCCTGACAAACCCTGAAAGCTTTGCTGAGCCCGCAGGGAATTGAATGTAGTTGTCAATGCTGCGCTTGCGCCTCGGCCCCCCGCCCCCCCGAAAAGCAGAAGAGCCGTGGCGTTGGGAACCCTATGCTTTAGGGCTCGCGTGGGTCAATCCTGTAAGTGTCAGCCACCAGATGCAGCCACCGAACGCACGAGCCACCGTGCCACCGTCGAATGCCCCCTGTTTTGGGCCGTAAGGGCCCCACACAGCCCCAAACCCGAAGCGCGGGAACTCCTCTCCCCGGGCCGGGCCAGTGCGAATTGTTGGTTCATGTGGTGCATTGGCTAAGGTTTAGGGTTTAAGGTTTAGGGGTTGCAGTGTGGAATAGGGATCATAGCATTAAAGTGGGGTACTCGAATCCCTATTGAGGACTGTTAGATGGGGGGGAAACATCCCAAGGTTCAGGAAGGTTCAGGGGCCTGGAGACTCTACATCCTCCGGGTGTCGAGGCCCTGTAAGGTTGTGGGGTTGTTTGGGGTTTAGGTTCGACACTTGACGGGGACGAGGTCTTAAGGATTCGCACATATCCCAACCCCGAAAACGCAAAAACCGCTGGAGCTCCACAGCCTCCAAGACGCAGCCCTTCCAGCCCTGTAGCCCTGCCAGCCCTGCGAGAGGCGAGCATGAAGTTGCGCTCGCCTGGTTCTGCGGACGAGGCCCTGGCGAGCTCATCCTTAACTGGAGACTCGGCTGCACCAGTGTCGCCGTACTTCGGGCTCATGGGCATCAAAGGGAGATGCCCAAAAACCCTCGGAGCCCAATGCAAGTACCAATTATGCTTCGGCCAACAGTGAGGTCGCCTAACAGCTCTGAGCTCGAGTGCAAAGCAGAACGTATGTAGGCCCTTTTGTAAACCCTGTGCCCGAGAGGATCCAGGGTAAGCCTCGGGGTGGGAGGGCATCAGGGAAAGTTCTAAAGGCCTTTCTTTTGGGGGTTTGTGCTCCTGTCGTAAACAGTCTAGGCTGCGTCTCGGGCTTCGTGCGCAACCACAGCCGGAAATGCATCTTCCTTCTGCTGCGCCTGGCCTGCGTTGGCATCATTGATGCCTTGGCTCCCAGGGTTCCCATCTAAGCCTCAAAGGTCTATGAGACTCTGCCAGTCGTATATTGTGTAGGCATAGGCGATCAACATGTAGAACATGGTTGCGGCGCCTGTACGCGCCCCTGCGTTTTCAGTGATTTGAGAGTATTTGAGACTGAGGCGTTTTGCATGGATACGCGCGAGACCCAAGCGGGAGCGCAATTTGAAGTAAAATTGTTGTTGAGGCAGGTGCGCGAAACACTAGAGGCTGAAGTAAACTGCGTTTTCGCTCGGGTTTTAAGCTTATTTTTGTAGAGGCTGCAGAACAAAACTTTATTTTGGAGAGAGTTTTGGAGGATGTATGGCTGAGTTTAAAAACAGGGTCATGGGTTTTATGTTGAGGGTTTTTTGCTTACAGGGTAACGCAGTCAAGCCCAGTTTTTTGGGCATAAAACGCTGTAAATACCAGTGTTCTGGGCAAGGTCGCGAAAGGCATGGACGCTTGTGACAGATTTTCTTGTTCTACTTCTTTGTGCAGTATGTTAACACGCTGTAAATACCAGTGTTTTGGGCATAAACGCTGTAAATAAGTGTTTTGGGCATGGTCGCGAAAGGCATGGGCGCTTGTGATAGATTTTCTTGTGCGGTATGTTGTACAAAAAGGCGGAAACGCTGTAAATACCAGTGTTTTGGGCACGCACGCAATATGAATGACGTTCTTATCCCCCCACCCCCGTCCCCAAACCTGCAAAAACGCAGGGCCGCGTAGAGGTGCCGTCTCCTCGAACATGTGCACCTGGGCACCCCAACACAGAGTAACCCGAAGGAGGCGGCTGTTGACAGTTGCATCTGCCTTTTCGGGTTCTTCTTGGCATGCTGGGAAAAGGGGGTGCTGGGACACTGGGGCTTCCCGATGTCATGCCGAAGCCGCCCCCCACCTCAACTGAGTACAGAGTCCCAACAGAATGAGGGCGATCCTTCGGTTACCCCAGCCTGCAACATGTGGACCGTGACTTTTTCTGTCAGTTTATTCTCGACTTTTTTTTGTGAAGGGGGGGGGGGGGGGGGTGTTTGAGGCAACCAAATAACCCTGAATACTCTGGACCCGGAGTATCGTCCTGCCGTGTGATCCTTCACCCAGCGTGTAGACAATGACATCTTGTCCAGCGTCCATAGGTGGAGCCCTGGATCAAGCTGGGGGTTGAGCCTTATGGTTGATTCAGGGTTAGTTTTGGAGGATTTAGGGTTTTCGGGTGTGTATATGACTGACATGCTGTACCCCAAAGCCCGAAAACCCAGAAGCCTTAAACTGGGCAGCTTGCAACCTCCCAGGTTTGCTTCAGCGGTTCAGGGCTTAGGGAACTCTACCCTTTTCAAATTAAGGTTTATGGGGTATAGGGCTTCAGTGGTTTAGGGCTTAGGGAACTTTTACTCCTTGAACCTTAGCCCTTAAGCATTTGCTCCTGTTGGAGGTTCGGCTTTGTCTTCGTCGCTGCAGCTGGCCCTCCTCTGGGCAACTTGAGGCAGTCCTTCAGCGAGGATCCTCTGCAAGAGTTTGGGGCTTCGCGGGTGCCCCAAACCGTACTCAGGGCTTAGGGTTTTGGGTTTAGGGTTTAAGGTTTTAGGGTTTAGGGGCTTGAAGGGTTGAACCATGCTCACATGGGTTTTGGGGGGGGGGGGGGGGGAGTATTTTCGTACGAAAACCCAAAGAAATGGGCACTGGTGTGTTGTTCCTGGCTGGTGAGCATGTCGCCAGGATCGTGGGGAGCTATGGGCATTTTGGAGGTTAGGGCGACAGTGGAAGAATATTGATGCTTGCTCAAGCTATACTTCGTTCATCTGTGGCGGTGCATCCTTAACTCCTGAAACGCCACGGATCCCTAAACCCCCTGTTCCAGGAGCGAGTCGCATCAATCAACGCGCAGCTCATGCAGATGACCCCGCAGGCAGCAAGATTCATTGGGCTTCGAGGGGTTGAAAGGGGCTTCTGGGGTGTTGCAGGGCGCTGCATGGAGTGAAGATGTCGCCATTATGGAAATCTGTCAGCAACCCCTAAACCCCTCAGCCCACATCCTAACGCAAACCCTGGTGTAAACACCTCAACCCAAGCACTAATACTTATAGACCTTATTTGAACCCTAAAGGCCCGAAACCCGAAGAACTCTGCAAGCCTCATGAAGCCCTGTAGCCCCAAACAACCCCGAACTCTCTAAACCCTAGAAACCCTCAACCCCTCAACCCAACCCCTAAACCCCTCAGAGCCCAACCCCTAAACCCCCCAACCCCCGAGATTCGACCGCAGGAGATCCTGCGCTGGGCACACCGAGCTCTACCTGGGCGCGTCGTCGCGCGGACAAGTTTTGGGTTGAAGGCTTAGGGTTCGGTTTAGGTTTTCGGTTTTCGGGTTTCGGGTTTAGGGCGACGAGGGTTTTTTTGGGTTGAGGGTCTATGGGGTTCAGGGCTTGGCAAGCCCTACAGTGTCCTGCAGATCAGCAAGTTGCTGGTTGCAAGGGTCTAGCCCGCCAAAAAGGCCGGTAACTGGTGCCCCAGCTCGGCTCGACAGTGGGTCTTTCTGCTTTAGGGCTGCGACGGTTTGGAGTCGAGCAAACACGGCCGTGCGGGGGGCTTATACAGATGTAGGATGGAACTTACTCCCTAAACCCTAAACCCCCGAAGAACGCAACACCTCAGAAGCAAAGCAGATCAAGGGCTCTGACAAAGCCCTAAACCCTAAACCCTAAACCCTAAACCCTAAACCCTAAACCCTAAACCCTAAACAACCCTGAGCCCCATAAACCCTAAACCAGGTTCAGATGAGTAGCCTTGGGGCGAGCGGCATGGAGCCTTGGGCTCAATGGCCAGATAGACAGCTACCTGATGCTCTTAACCCGGGGGTTTAGGGCGCTCAGGGTTTAGGGTTTAGGGTTCAGGGTTTAGGGTTTAGGGTTTAGGGGTTTAGGGCTTCAGGGCTTTAGGGCTTATTCAGGGGTCTGTTCTTTCGAACGGCGTATGACCTCGCTGTAAGTCGCAAACCCTAAGACCTGCCATGCAAGACTTTGGGCTAGCAAGCTGTTGCGATGCCCAGCAGCACCCTCATTCCCCTTTTCAGTGGCTTCGGTTCCCTTGAGACACCCCAAGCAAACATGCGCTCGATGCTTCCCCCAAGCCCATGGCCCCTAAACCCCGCAGGATTCTAAGAATTCCGGGCCATTTCGGGCCCTACATTATATTATATATATATATATATATATAAGGCTCCGGGATACCAGAGTGAGATTCCCAAAAGGGACCATTAGCTAGGGTTTAGGGTTAATTAGGGTTCATTAGGGTGAATTAGGGTTCATTAGGGTGAACAGAGAACCTCCCAGGCTTCTCCAAGCAGTTGAACGGTTTCTAAGCTCAGGTGATCTTGGACATGATGGACTCCATAGGCCCGCGGGTGTGATGGGAAAGGGCTTGGGGAATAGGACTTCCTCGTGGTTTATATGGCTTAGGGTTCAAACTTTGGGGCGTCATGTGGTTGGTGGTTGCCTGGGGTCTTTACACGGTTCAGGTGAGAAGGTTTAGGGTTCATGGTGTTTTTGCTGTGGTGGGGCGGCGTGTGTCCTGACCTAAGACCTTAGAAGTGTGAAGCCGCAAAACCTGAAAGCCCAGACCGTCGAGTGTCGCTGCAAGATGCCACTGTTGCCAATGTCCCAAGTTTCAGGAGCTTTCTGAGCTGAGCTCATGAGCCATCTACCTTCCCCCCCCTGAAAACCTACTTGTTGAGGGGGCGGTATCGCAAACCCTAAACACCAAACCCTATGCGTTGAGCGCTCAAGCCAGTTAAGTCCTCTGGGCGCACTTCTCCACTAGGACTCTTGAAAGAGATTCCGGTGATCACCGTGGACACCTTGCATCTCTTCCCTGAGACCTATCAGCACATCGCGAATGTGACTAAGCACTATCCACACCTGTACCATGGCGGCATTGCCAATTGCATTGCAGCTTCTTGCGAGGTTCTTTTTTCAAGGTATTCGGTCGAGGCCTTTTGGGGACTTCGGTTTGGCGCGCATGCTTTGGATGTTTGAGACCGTTGCAGACAAGCATGTTGTTGTTATATAGATATATATGGTCACCCCCCCCCCCCCCCCCCAATGCCCCCCCCCCAATGGACCCACCGCAGGCCTTGACCTTTGCAAAAGTACCGCAAATACCGATAACACCTATGCTGTCTGGTGATTTTCCGGTGACCGGATTTTTGACTGTATTCCTTAATTCACTCTCTCACACACACACGGAGGGTTTTTCTTTCTGTTGGCTTTTGTTTATATTTTAAGATTTAGGCATTTAAACCTCAGCCTGCAAAAAAAACCCTTAACCTTTAAACCCTGTAGGGTTGAGGTTTCAAGGTCAAGGGTTTAAGATTTAGGCATTTGAACCTATGCCGGCAATTAAACCCTAAGCCCTTAACCTTTGAATTCTACAGGGTTAAGTTTTTTACAGGTTTAGGGTTCAAGAAAAGATGGTTTTGAGCAACAATCCTTCGAAAAACCATCTTTTTCTCGAGAAAAAGATGGTTTTACCAGGAGAAGACCTCCAAAAACCATCTTTTTCTCGAAAAAATGATGGTTTCGAACCAAAAACACCTTTTTTTTCTCGAGAAAACCCCCAAAAAAACATCTTTGGAGGCCCCAGCCCCATAGTTTTGGAAAAGATGGTTTTTTTTGGATTTTTTTTATTTTTTTGGATTTTTCGAGAAAAAGATGGTTTTTTGGTTCGAAACAATCTTTTTCTCGAGAAAAAGATGGTTTTGAGCAACCATCCTTCGACAAACCATCTTTTCTCGAGAAAAGGTGTTTTTACTAGGGGAAGACCTCCAAAAACCATCTTTTTCTCGAGAAAAAGATGGTTTCGAACCAAAAAAACATCTTTTTCTCGAGAAGACCAAAAAAAACACATCTTTTGGAGGCCCCAGCCCCATAGTTTTGGAAAAGATGTTTTTTTGGTGGTTTTTGGTTTTTTTTGGTTTTCTCGAGAAAAAGATGGTTTTTTGGTTCGAAACCATCTTTTTCTCGAGAAAAAGATGGTTTTGAGCAACCATCCTTCGAAAAACCATCTTTGTCGAGAAAAAGGTGGTTTTACCAGGAGAAGTCCTCCAAAAACCATCTTTTTCTCGAGAAAAAGATGGTTTCGAACCAAAAAAGCCATCTTTTTCTCGAGAAAACCAAAAAAGCCATCAAAGGGAGGCCCCAGCCCCATAGTTTTGTAAAAGGTTGTTTTTTTTGTTATATTAATTTTTGGCTTTTGTTAGTTTATTGTTTTGTTGTTTTTCCTTGATCTTGCTAGGACTCGGCTGCCGCCCGCAGTGGGTCCATGGGGGGGGGTGAGCTTATATATATATATATACACCTGTCAGGAGGCAGGGCAGGCCAACGCCGAGCAGAGCTCCTCAAGCGCTGGAAGGGGTGAGTTTCTCCCCCAACCAGTGTCCCCAGCACCTGACTGGGATCCTTCGACCTCTGAGTCCACCTCGGAACAGGGTGAGGTTCTCCCCTGCAGTTCCCAGGACGCCGGGCAAGCAGTTTTCGCCCGGGAGACCCCTTGGTCACGGAGGGTCAGGTTGCGTTCCGAGTCCCAGGCACTGGGCCCTCCAGTTGGGGAGACGGCAGTGAGCAGGCCGATGCCATCGGCAAAGGGGGAGCTCCCTAAGCTCCATGGTTGGTTGGCCCAAACTGGGGCTTCCAACTCAATCGAGATGCTCCCCAAAACGTTGGGCTTTGAATGGGGCGTCTCTGGACCGTCGGGGATGCTGCTGCAGTGGCTTACCAAAGGTCAAGATAGAGCTGTTTATACGGCCAACGACTTGATTTTAAAAATCTCCACGACGTGCCAAAAACATGAGTACGAGCTGGCAAAAATGCTGCCTGGTATTGCTGCCAAAACTTACTGGGCTGAGGATGTTGAGCTGTTTCTGCATGGAAACAACAGAGAGTTGAAAGGCCCAGTCAGCCTCGTGTGCCAGGAGCGTTGCGTTCTGGCTACTGAGGTTCTCGAGGCTAGGGGGCAAACTTTCAGCTTCCAGTTCATGTGCCATGTGGGATGCATCCTGGTGTGATTGCTCGTCCAGGGCTTTCACCTGTTTGACCTGGGGAAAGCAACATGGGCATTGAGATGGCCTCCTCTTCGACAGCGCAGCCTGCCTTACGTTTCTTTGACCTTCTCAGCTGGAGGAGGCAGAGAAGGCCTGGCCATAAGTGGAAACGGTTCCACACTTTGGCCCGCCGTGTGTGTCCCGTCCACGCCAACTGGATTAAGGAGGCCACGGCGTCTGCAAGCAGGGACCCACGTGCGACCTTCATGCGGCTGGCCAGTGAATGCCAATCTTTCCATTTTCGGCTGGTTGCTGCAGGTGTGATGGTCAATAGTGCGCTGTCGCAGAGACAACTGCCCTGGGGCTGAACAAGGGTGAGTTTCTCCCCTTTGAGCATCAGGGCAAGCACCTTTTCACAGGGGTGAGCTTCTCCCCCTTAAGATTTGGTGCGTGTAGGCCCAGTACAGCTCCTGGGCTGAAAGCCTGTGTCTGTTTCACCCAAACCCGTTGAGCCCTGCTCCGGAAGGCCCAAATGGGCGCGAACTACCGCCTCGCACGGCAGAGCTTATATAGAAATATATATGTGGTCACCCCCCCCCCCCTCGACAGACCCCGGAAGTATATATCCGGTCTGTTCAGGAAGGGGGGGGGGGGGGGGAAAGCACCACTCCAAAATTCCTCGAGTTTCCAAAAATCCAAAAAGCCAAAAAATCCAACCCAGGGTTCCGCTTTTTGGAAACTCGAGTGGGAGCCTCAAAATCCTTAATCCGAGCAAAGTCCTCGAATTTCCAAAATTCAAAAAAAAATCAACCCCAAGGTTTGGATTTTTGGAAACTCGAGCGGGAGCCTCAAAATCCAAAAATCGAGCAAATTCCTCGAGTTTCCAAAGTTCCAAAAATCCAAAAAATTCCACCCCAAGGTTTGGATTTTTGGAAACTCGAGCGGGAGCCTCAAAATCCAAAAATCGAGCAAATTCCTCGAGTTTCCAAAATTCCCAACCTTGGGGTGGATTATTTTTGGATTTTTGGAATTTTGGAAACTCGAGGAAATTGCTCGATTTTTTGATTTTGAGGAAATTCCTCGAGTTTCCAAAATTCCAAAAACTCCAACCCAAGTTTCGGATTTTTGGAAACTCGAGCGGGAGCCTCAAAATCCAAAATCGAGCAAATTCCTCGAGTTTCCAAAACTCCAAACCTTGGGGTGTGTTTTTTTGGATTTTTGGAATTTTGGAAACTCGAGGAATTTGCTCGATTTCTGGATTTTGAGGCTCCCGCTCGAGTTTCCAAAAATCCAAACCTTTGGGGTGGATGTTTGGATGTTTGGGTTTTTGGATTTTTAGAAACTGGAGTTTTGATAAGAGTTTTTCAAGGGTTCTTATATGATTCCTTATTATGTTTTAGGCTGCCTATTAAATTTAATAATACTCCTGTTCACTTTAATGGGAGTCCTTATTTAATTAATAAGACTCCTAATCATGTTACTAGCATTCTAAGTGATCTTCAATGGGATTCCTGTATTTGTTTAATGGGGTTTAATATTGATTCCTATTCATTTTAATCAAATGCCAAATAATTGGAATACGATTCTGAGTAATTGTAATAGCATTCTTCTTCCTAGTTAGTTTTAATAAAAGTCTTAGAATTTTAATAAGCTTCATAACAAATTTTATACATATTCCTATTAATTTCAATAGGCTTCTTATTCATTTTCATAAGATGTCTTACAGGGTTCCTTTTGATTTGACAAGCTTCCTATTCATTTAAAAGGCTTCTGATTAGTTGGAATAGGCTTCGTATTCACTTTAACAGGGTTTCTCATTCATGTTGACAGGATTCCTAATAATGTTCATAGGATTCCTACTAGATTCCACAGTGCTCCGATTATGTTTTTTAAATCCTGTTCCCTATTCATTTCAATTGGACTCGAAGTAATGTTATTGTAACTCTTATTTGTTTATTAGCAATCCTATTAATTAAATGTTTTAATAGGGTTCATTATAATTCTAACAGTACGACTCTTATTGTTTTAAGTTTTGAAGGGTCCACATTACTTTTTTTATAGAATTTTATTGGCTCCTCTTAATCCTTTAATAGGATTCATCTTCATGTTAAACGGATTCCTGTTACTCTTAAAAAGAATTCATAGATTCTTTTGTAGGGTTCCTATTAATTTTAATAGCATTCCTATGAATTCAAAAGGGTTCCTATTCCATTCATTTGAATGGCCTTCCTCTGGTTCCTCTGAATTTAGGACGCCAAGAAATGTTAATAGGAGCTTCTACGTATTTCAACCAGGTTCTTATTCATTGTACTAGGATTCTTACTAAGTTTTCAAAAAAGACTCGTCTTAATTTCAATAGGGTTCTCATTCATTTTAATGGGGTTCCTATTGATTTAAATAGGATTCCTATTGAACTCATACGAAGCCTATGAATCCTAATAAACTTAATAGGAACCCAAGTAAAGCTAAGAGCAATCTTATTAAAATTAATAGCAATCCACGATGTCGAGCAAATTGTTCAGGTCCTTACAGCATGCGTCCTTCTCACATCTGTCTGCATCTTTCATTGCGAACACAAAGCCGTACTAATCGAAAAAATATGCTCTATTGTGTGTTAACGTGTCTGGCTACTGTGTGCAGCTATGCTGTCCGTCGCGCCCTCAGCCCTTTTTTTGCTTCCGGGGTCTGTCGAGGGGGGGGGGGGGGGGGGGTGAGCATATATATATATATATATATATCGCGTGTCATTCTACAGAGGGGCTGTAGATGGAGATTAGGTATCAACAGTCAAAGCCTTGGCCTTCGTCTGATGCCAGGTGGGTAACCCCTCAATATATATATATATATATATATATATAATGTAATAGTTTGTTTATATTCATATGTATACATGCATATGCTATATATGCTATATACATATATATATATATACATACATTACATTGCATTACATTACATTACATCACATTACATTACATTACATGACATGACATTGCATTACATACATCTTGCACATAAACTATCTATAAAGATGTATATATATATATATACATCTTTATTAATTTTTGCAAGGAAACTCCACGTCTACTATCCTCTGGGTTTCGGCAACCTTGGCCGCGAGAAGTTCGACGCAAAGTACGGCGCATCGCTGTGGAAGGAGGACTTCGACAGGCGGCACTGGTCATCCGGATTTGGGGTTTAGGGCTTTAGGCTTTAGGGCTTAGGGGTTAGGGTTTAATTAGGGTTTAGGGTTCAGGGTTCAGGGTTTGGGGTTTGGGGTTTGGGGTTTAGGGCTTGGGTGGGTTTAGGGGATTTAGGGTTTAGGGTTAAGGTTTCAGGGTTTGGGGGCAGGTGGGGGGGGGGGGGGCTTAGGGGGGCTTCAGGTTTTGAGAGCTGGGACTTTGCCAAGAAGGTTCTCAACCTTAAACCCCAAGCCCCAAAATCGCTCCCCACACCCACCTAAACCCTAAACCCTAAACCCTAAACCCTAAACCCTAAACCCTAAACCCTAAACCGGCTTGTCACCCTGAGGTACAGCTTGCTTTCGAAGCTGGAGCCGGCCGCCCAAGCTCTGTCCGACTTCTCCCCGCGCGCCTGGCACACCGGCTACTGAATGGCCCTAAACCCGGCCCTAAACCCTCAATCGTGGCTTTAGGGTTTAGGGTTTAGGGTTTAGGGTTTAGGGTTTGAGCTAAAGCCTAGAAAGCTGGTCATGAATCGTTCTTGGGAATGGTAGACCTGTACGTTCGCTGAATGTTGGGACATTGGTTTGAGGATTTAGGGCAACAAGAGAATCCGCCACAAGCTCGCAAACAGCCCTCGCGATCCGGGACACCGTACTTGTTCAGGGTTTAGCGTTTAGTGTAAGGGGCTTAGGGTGCTGATTCAGGGCACAGGATGATATACCCTGATCCGACACTTTGTCTGCAGTTTGTTTGTCCGTTCCCTCTCTCCGGCTGGAGCAAGGATCACCGGGCGAAGGCGCTCGCAGGGTGGTGACAGGCGAGGCGGCCGTGAGACCTGAAAATGTTTGCAATAGAGAGGGGATGTAGTACCTGAACTTTGGGGCAAAGCTCCCTCGACCATTGATATACGACATCGCTCTGACACCTCCGATTACTTTGCAGGTTGGTGCTGTTATTGCAGTATGTCTCTTTACATAGACCTGTGCTCTTTGCATACGAGGAGCTATGCCTACGTTGACGGACAGCCATGGACCAGCCCCCCCCCCACCCCCCAACCCTAAACCCTAAACCCTAAACCCTAAACCCTAAACCCTAAACCCCAACGAATTCGAGCTGCCAACTCGGCAGGGAGACAATGGCTCTGGCGGAGTACGACGGCGGGAAGCTTCTTTGCAGGGGGCATCTCACGGCCTCTTTTGGGCCCCAAAGAACCCAACAACAACCCTTGTAATCAAGCCCGAAAACCCTCACCCCTAGACCCAAAGCCCATAAGCCCTAAACCCTAAGCCCTTTCCCCTAGATACCCTATACACCCTAAACAGTAACTAACCGCCCACCCCCTAAAAAAGCCTGGATCGAGTTCAAGCCACCCTTTTTCCTAAACCCTAACGCCTACACCCGAACCCCTAAACCCCAAGCCCTAAACCCTAAACCCTAGCCCTAAACCCTAAACCCCCCAACCCTAAATCTGCGCTGCGAGGATGATCAAGCTGAACCCGCTGGCATACTGGACCAACGCCCAGGTCTGGGAGAGCCCCGGCCTCCAGTTTTAGGTTTTTTGGCGCTTCAGGGAATTCAGGGGTTTTAAGGGCGTTACGGGCCTTTTTTCTGTGGGGGGGGTGGGGGGGGGAAGGGTTTAAGGGTTTCCGAGGGAGTCTTCGGGTTTTTAAGGGGGTTTTTCAGGGGTTGTAAGGGGGTTTTGAGGGGGATTTAAGGGACTTCAAGGGGTTCAGGGGCTTTAAGGGGTTTAGGGGTTTTAAGGGGCTTCAGGGGTTTAACAGGGGTTGAGTTTGAGGGTGTGGGGATGTAGTTTGCTGTTTTTTATTTATTTACTATTATTATTATTATTATTATTATTATTATTATTATTATTATTATTATATATATATATATATTTTTTTTTTTTTTTTGGGGGGGGGGGGGCTTTTGGAGCGTTCTGGGTTTGAGGGTTTTAAGGTTGTGCTGTGCGTGCGTGTGTGAGTCCGAAAGCCTTGTAACCATCCAGGCTTTCTGTACCCTAAACCATAAGCTAACTTCGTAGAGAATTTGGGAAGAGATCCCTAGTGCAGTCCAAGACCCCCGCCCCCCCCCAAAGTAATCCTTGCTCGTTCCATACATCTCATCTCATAAGCAACTCAGAACCCACCCTGGAATAAGGGTTTTTTTGTTTTTTCTAAACACCAGGTCAAGTTTCTCAAACTTCTAGTATTTACCATGATGTACCTACTGATTCTTCTTTCGTAGGGAATCAGGGAATTAGGTACTTTTTGTCCACCCTATACATGTCGGCGTGCCTGCTTTAGTGCGTCGCCCCCAGATAGTCCCAAAGTTGTCCTGAATAGCCCCGCAAGCTTGACTTGATTCAGGAGCCCCCCCCACCCCCAACGCGGATACAACATTACCCTCTAAATGTTCCGCCTTATGCGAACAGTCCTGAGAACACACTTATGGTACCCGCGATAATCACCCCTATGAAGGACTGTTAGTATAAGGGGGAGAATCCCAACCTTAAGGGATGATATGGGGTAACTCATCCCCTCAAAAGGGTTTACAAAGCTCGACTGTTGAGTTTCGGGTTTGGCCTCTGGAGTTCACGGAGACGCCCCAGAGGGGAAAAAAGCTGCCCTTTAGGGTTGAGTTTTTAGGGTTGAGGGTTGAGGGTTTAGGGTTGAGGGTTTAGGGTTTAGGGTTTAGGGTCCCTCAACCCTCAGCCCTGAAACCCTACACCCCAAGCCCTCTAAGGTACATACGGGAGCACGGCGTGCCTTACAACGTGCTCCACGACCGCGGCTTCTCTTCCATCGGCGATGAGATGAACACCCGCCCTGTCAAGGACGGCGAGGCAAGGAGATGCCTAAACCCTAAGCCCTAGACCCTAGACCCTAGACCCTAAAACCTAAACCCTAGACCCTAAACCCTAAACCCTATAAACCCTAAACCCCAAGCCCAGATAGGTTCTTGAGACGTTTCATGTTTTCCCTGATTGCGTTTAACAGGACCATCTTTGGGACTATTTTTTTCAGAGGGTTTTAGTAGCCATCCTAGAATCCCCAAACCCAAAACCCTAACCCCAAAACCCCAAAACCCTGAACCCTTTTTCATGTTGGAGGCTTGAGCTCTTCTGCTTCCATGGAGTCTCATGAGGTTTCCGGGATGCCACCGTTCAATCACGGCAATCTGGCCCTTAAATTCGTAGCCTAAGCACACGGTTTAGGTTTTCGGGTTTAGGGTTCAGCCCACTAAAGCATTAAACCCGGTACTCAGCCCCTCAACCCTAAACCCCAAGAGTTCCCCCAGCCATGAGGAGGAACGAGCAGGGCGGTTTGACCAGAGCGTGAAGGTGACTGAGTGCGGTATGCACACCCACCTCGCGAAGTTTGACTGCACTCTTCACTGAGGGTTGTCGTAAGGGTCATCCAAACCCCAAGCCCAAACCCTAAGTTCTAAACCCTACCCTAAAGCTGAAGCAGTGGCCATTGCGGAAGGCTTCTAGGGCACTCACTCAACCCACTATGGATGTTGCCCCCTTACGTCCAGCACTTGCGGCCCCAATGTGATGCATTAAGTTTTGTGGTCCGGGTCAGGGTTTGCCATAGGGTTTATGGGGTCAGGGTTGGGGGGCCTGGATTAACATTTCTGATTTATGAGGGGCGTTGGGGTGATGTGTTCTGAAGTTCGGGCGCTTCCCACACACACAGCAGATGCAGCCCTGACCCAGTGGTCCTTGAGGTTCCATCATGGTCCACCCTTCCGATCTTTCTTTTTTTCTCGTCACCGAACAGCGCACCTTCTTGTTGTCTGACATCTACCTTATACCAGGCTCGTAATTCCGCAGTTTCGGGCGCTAAGCCACCAGAGAAGAAAGCCTTAAACCCTGAAACCCCTAAACCCTAAACCCTAAACCCTAAACCCTAAACCCTAAACCCTAACCCGTAAACCCCTCGGCCCGAAAGCCTTGCCAGCCCTAAAGCCCTAAAGAAGGAAAGCCCGGGCGAGCATCAAGCGGGCGCAGTCCAGTGGCACGCCCCACCTTCCCTGCCCTTCCTGCGTGGATGTGGACAAGACCAACTTCCAAGAGTTTCGGCCGGGCTTAGGGTTTGGGGTTTAGGGTTTAGGGTTTAGGGTTTAGGGTTTAGGGTTTAGGGTTTAGGGTTTAGTGGTCTAGGGTTTAGTCATATGGACTGTTTATAGGTTTCCCCGTGACTTGGCTTCCTCATTTCTGCATTGAAGGCTACATCCAAAAAAGGCGGAAGGTTTGGGGTGTTTTGGGGGGTTATAGGTTTAGGGTTCGAAGGCTAGCATGCCTTGTACCTTTATCTTTCATGAGTGGCCTTGGCGTAGCCTTTCTGTGGATGATATGGGAAGCTCTGAAGTATTCACGCATGCATGCGTGAAGTGGTTCGCTGACTCATAATATACGACCCGCAGCCCCTTAGGGCCCTAAACCCTATAAACCCAAACCCTATAAAACCCAAAAAACCCAAAAAACCCTATGAACCCTATAAACCCTATAAACCCTATAAACCCAAACCCTATAAAACCCTATAAAACCCTATAAAACCCTATAAACCCTATAAACCCTATAAGCCCTATAAACCCTATAAACACTATAAACCGTATAAACCCTATAAGCCCTATAAACCCTAAACCGCCAGACTGCAGGCTCATGACTGAAAGTTTTTGGGCCCACGGTCCTGGGTTTTTTGGGTTCAGGGCTTCGAGCACCCTGTGTGCCACTTTTTTTTGTTTAGGCTTTAGGCTTTAGGCTTTAGGCTTTAGGCTTTAGGCTTTAGGGTTTAGGGTCTAGGGTCTAGGGCTTAGGGTTTAGGGTTTAGGGCTTGGGGGGGTGTCTGTAGATAGGCTCCTTTTGAAACCCCACGAAGACATGTCAAGGAAGTGGTCCTGCAGGCAAAGCAGGACATGCTTATCGAGCGCCCCGGCTTCGGTACCTTGAGTCCTCAGAGGGTTTCAGGGTTAGGGTTTCAGGGTTAGGGTTTCGGGTTTTGGGTTTCGGGTTTCGGGTTTCGGGGCGCGTCGGTACCTGACAAGATTCGCACTCCCAAGCCCTAAACCCTATAGCTAGAGGCTGCCCTGCAATCTGCTCAGAGGACGGCGTAAACTTGGCATTGTGGCTGTTGGGGTCCGTAGTCGGGATCCCTGTCGGAATACGTCAAAAATCGGCAAAACCTTCCTTGAGTTCGGGCGAAGGGTTCATAGGGGGTAGACCCCTAGGCGCTGGGAACCCTGCCAGGTTCTACTCGCCCATGTGCGGTCACTGCACCCACTTTGCGCCCACCTATGCGGAGATTGCCAACCGCCTTGCGAAGGACCTGAGTATAGAGGGGCCTAAATTAGTTGGAAGGGTGCTGCGTGTAGCTTTCTATTGTATGTACTTGTATGGCAATATATGGCAATCATCTTGGCCCCTGTTGCATACATCTGTGTTCACTTTGCAATTACGCATGACAGCTTGATTTAACAGGTGGCTGCAGGGGTTAAGGGTTTCGGGTTCATGTTCGGTTCTTTTTCGTCTTCATGGGACTTGCAGCTTCCACCTTGTTTCGTGTGCATGTTGAAGATCCGAGTGGACCTGACTGTCGTGAGTCGAGCTTACAGGAGAGCCGATTTTCTGCCCTCCCAGAATGCAGAACAAAAGAGCTAACGAGGTATACTCGCCAGCCAATGCACACTTACAGCCCGAAAGCCTCAACCCTAAACCCTGTAGGTCTGAAACGATTGCAAGGCTCACATGTAGCCCAGAGCGTGGTCCCCTTGCAACATATCCATCAGAAACCTGGAATGTCAAAGGCTCCAGTGACCCAAGTCTCCTAGTTTCCTAGAGCCTTAGGGTTCTGTGGTTCCATGCCCCAAAGCAGGCCTTAACCAACCTATCAGGCAGGCGAAGTCACGCCCGCGCGCATGGATTTGTACAGCCAACCGGACAGCATGGGACTTCGAAGAGCTGGCGGGCTCGAAGGATGCTTCAGGATCGGAGATGGGTTGTGGGAGAGGCTGGTGACTTGAGAACTCTTACCCTTGCACCACGTAGACCAAAACCCAGATTTCCTGCTTCTGGCTATTTGGAGCCTTCAGGTTAAACTAGGACCACAACCATGGAACCTTGAAATGTCCTAAAGACTGCTTAATGGCTCCTAGCAAGCCCCTGCAGGATGTAAGAGGGCCGGTCGCCCTGACCTCACTTTGGGCAAATGGGGGTAATGCCAAGTTGCCGGGCGCGTAGATGCATGAAAGAAGACCGCCAGCCCAGGCAACGACTTGCCCAAAGTGGCTGTGGACGCTGGCTTCGACATCAATGCTCCCGGGCTGGGCATCTTACTCTACGAGCCCCTTTAAGCCCTAAGCCCTACACCAGGTCTTGGGTTTAGGGATTAGGGGATTAGGGTTTAGGGTCCACCCTGGCCTCCTTTTGGGCATTGAGGGGCGAGTCCGACGCCATTGAGGGTCGAGAGGATGAGACCTGAAGTTGAGACCCGAAGCTACCACTTGCTTAAGAACCCCCCCCCAAAAAAAAAAAAACAAAAGACTCTTCCTGATTAGGGTGACATAAGCATTCTTGTTTAGTTATTTTTTTTGGGGGGGGTTCTTATGAGCACATTTAGTAGTCAACCCTAAGCCCTGAATCTGATGGCTTCCATTTCGGGTTCAGGGGGTCGTGCCTGTAAAGCACCTGGCCACGAGTCAAGGCTCAAAATCGTAGGAAGCTCCGCGTCGGCTCGCAGCCCATAGTGGAAGGAAAATAACCCGAGCCCATTACGACCTACCAGAATCCTAAGTAAACCCTAGAGTGCTTTGGGTTTGGGATTTCGGTTCAGGTCCTGAGACCTTGCTTGCCAAGGCTTTTCCGACATTGATTTTGCTGCGGCGGAACCCGGATGCCAGGCTAAATCTTGCTAAGCCCTCACTTGGGCTGGATTTGGGTGTTGTTTTGGGTTTCCGGGAACCACAGATCAGGACGTCACTTGGCTGTCATGCAGCATCCTCACCCCAAAGCGCCCCAAGCCCTCAAGCCCTACTACGAACCCCAAACCCTACACCCTACACCCTCAAACCCAAGTTCGGCAACCTCCAAATTGCATTCTACAAACACACCGCATCCACACACATGGTCCGTTTTCCCGGCGACATATCCTCACACCAAGAGGGGGATTTCCCAAGCCCAGACTCCTGAAGGGATTTTGTCCCACAGAAAAAATGGTTCAGGGTTTAGGGTGAAGCGTCACGTCGTATGTGGTCTTGTGGCTGGAGGGGACCTTTGTTACTATTCCTTTTTTTGTTATTGTTGCTGTTGTTATTGTCATTTTCATTGTTTTTCTGGTTTGTATCATTATTATTAGTATTATTATGATTACTGTTTATTCTTTTTTTTTTTTTGGGGGGGGGGGTGGCGGGGTGCGGGCGGGGGTGCACGCTGGGGAGGGTAAGCTCATGTTGCGCTGAGGAGACTGGCAAGCTCAGGCTCATCCAGTTTGACCGCTGGAGGAGCGGCGGTGGAGATGCATTTTTGTAGCTGTGTGTGGGGGCAAGGTAATATAGGGGTCGGGATAATTACTAAGAGTATTCCCTTGTGGTCCCTTTCTAGTGGTACTAAGAGAACCCCCCCAAGCCTATTCCAATTATTCAGGCCCCTATAGTAGCCACATGCCTGTTTGGCTTGCTGTAGGCTTTCGGGGAAAGGGAAGGCAAGGGGGAGAGAGGCGAGGAGTGACTCTGGTTGCAAACTCACGCCAATGAACCCCTAAATGGACGATGTGGGGGGCTCTCATGAGACCTTCCCCTTTCGAATCCTGAGCAACGCCTCGTTGCAAGTTGCCCCCAAGAATCTGACAAACTCTGCCAGGAGGGATGCTGCGTCTGTCCTGGGCTGGGTCAGCGAGAAGCGAACCCAGCTCAAGAAGCCATGACGACAAAAAGTGTAGCAACGCAATACTTCATGGCCGTCCCCTGGGGAGCTTCCCTGACATCCCCCCCTGGGAACCCAAGACCATCCTAAGCCAAACCCCGTTAATGCTGCGACATGACTGGGATGCTTCATGGGGGCTTTACGAAAGGAAGGGGCCCCTTTTATCTCAACAGGTACCCCCTAACTTCGGAAACCCCCCCACCCCTTGTTGAGATGAGAGGATGCAAATCTGTCGGTTTAGGCTCGACAGCGCTGAGCCCACAATCCGAAACCCAAGCCCTGGTAAACCCAAGAGTTGTGGGTTTCGGGTGTAGTGTTTAGGGCTTCATCATACCCGAAACCCTAGGAAGCCCCTCACCTGTGGATTTTCCCCCTTGATAAATCCCGTCCTTAATATTATAGGCAGTAGAATCGGGGGTACCAAACCCTAAACCCCAACATAGTTAGCTGACGTTTTGTTGCGGCCGAGGTGTCTAACCCGAAACCCTAAACCCTAAACCCTAAACCCTAAGCGCTAGTAAGCCCCACACCTCCAAACCGAAAGTTCGTGCAGGCAGCGCCTGCTTCAGACGCGGGCGCCGCATCCGCCGTGAGGGCCTTAAGGGCTACCTCCATACTCCTTGCCAACGTACTTAGGGTTAGGGTGTAGGGTTTAGGGTTTAGGGTTTAGGGTTTCGGGTTTAGGGTTTAGGGTTAGGGTTTATCCTAGACCCTAGACAGCTCTAGCGGACTTCAAGCTCAGAGTCCTCGGTCCTTCTGTCCTTCGACTCATGCCTTATACTTGGTCGCCCAGTGGTACCCTGCACCCTTTATTTGGTTCTGGTTTCCCCTTCTAAAGTAACCAACCAAAGAAAGGTACCCTTAAACAATTATGGTTACGTGGCTACCAAGTATACCTATCCTCTTTTCAAGAGGTGCTTTGCGACTTATCTGGCTGATCTTGTAACACCCAACGGGCATGGTAATGAATCTTGCCTAGATAGTTCCGGTTAGAAATCTATCTCTCTATATATATATACACATACACACACAGACACACATATATATATATATATGTGTGTATGTTTATATATATATATATGTATAAACCCAATGTACAGATGTATATATATATATATATACAGAGAGAGAGAGAGAGAGAGAGAGAGAGAGAGGATGGTAGAAGTTGTGGGCTTCTCGGGGGGGGGGGGGGGGGGCTCGAACTATAGTCGAAACCGTAAAGGGACCATCATGCAGAGAACTCCCCACAGAATCTGTTCATATGACTGTATATACATATATACATATGGTATATATGTATACATGTATATACATATATATATATGCACATGTGTATATATATATATATATATATATATAGATATACAGATATGCACCTACGCACCGCCTTTTGCCTGACTTCTGCGACAGGCTGCGAAACCAAAGGCTTCACGCCCCAAAGGGGAATCGAAAACCGTCACGGCCTCTGTCAGTGCTCTGATGGTTTTCGGCATTATGAATGAGCAATTGGTAAAAGGATGATCGCTACCATCTACGGGGTTTACGGCGGTTATTGTTTAGAGCGCATTTTAGGGGCAACGCCAGTAGTAGGTGGGACCGGGAGTCAGTAGAGCTCCACGCTTTGCGGGAAGTGACCCAGGTTTGTACGTGGTTTCAACAGCTGACGTGTTCTGAATGGTCTCGGCTTTAGAATTTCGGGTTTGGGGTTTAGGCTGTAGGGCCATGCCGTGATTGCTACAAACCAGTTGCTGGGTTTGGCTCATTTCGGGACAACTCCGCGGCTTAAGGCGAGGCGGTTGTTTCAGCGAGCGTGAATATGGTCCTTTTGTGAATAGAGAAGGTCCTGCACTGTTTCACCGCACCTGCCATCATATGACACGAGCAGTTCCGATCACTTTGTAGTGTTTGTATTGACCTGGTGTTATAGGGTCTCGCCGAGAGTCTGAAAGAGTTTGGGACTGAGAGTAGGCTATCTGGCCGCATAGGAAGATGCGAGTTTCTGTGGTGAACCTGCAGGGAGAAGAGGTGCTCGCGTTGGAATGTGCTGGTGTTGGAGATATCCGCCAAGCCGTTGCAAAGAAGTTGGCGGTCCCTGCTGGCACTGTGAAACTCTACCATGCTGGCCGCGAACTGGAGGAGCTCGAGGGTGCGGAGGAGGCGCACATGGGAGATTTGGACCTCTCATTGGTGCTGCAAGTTCCGGACGGGTTCCTGACCTGCTCAGATGACGGCACAGCAAAGATACTTGGCCAATACCTGAACTCGAAACTTTTGGGTTTCCTGATTCCTTAGAGTTAGTAGGAATAGTAAAGTTTAAGCTTTTTTCCCTTGGTCATTGGAGAAGTTAAGGATATGGCACACACAGACGGGCGAATGCCTGCGCACCTTCAGCGGCCACCAGGCAGGAGTTTCCTGCGCCGTCTTTTCGCCAGACAAGGCATTCATTCTCACAGCGAGCGCCGATCACACGGCAAAGTTCTGGAGCATAGCACAAGGGTGCTGTGTTCAAGACTTTACAGGGCATGAAGGCGCTGTGAATTCTGCAGTTTTCTGCAAGGAAGGCTCGAAGTGTTTCACTTGCTCTGCAGATGGTGCTGCGAAGATGTGGGACGTTGAGACAGGTCAGTGCCTGCAGAGTTTCGTCTGCGGAGACAATGTGACGTCCGTGGCATTGTCGGACGATGAGACGCTGATGATGACCACATGTGAGAGTGGACACCTGCTACTCTGGGATGTCAAGGCTGGCTCCTGGCAAACACTTGCCGAGTTGGACAGAGATGAACTCCTCTCAGCTTGTTTCGTGGGCGAGCGGAAGATGTTCATGAGAGCAAGCGGGTATGACCCTTTGGCGCAGCTCTGGGATGCTGCAATCTTTCCCAAGGGCCGCATTGTCTTTGGCCATGACGAATTTGTGTCGTTCGGTGAGCTCTTTCATGAGCGGTTTGCACTGACAATTGGCCGGAGCCGCTCTACGGCTGCAAAGCTTTGGAGCGCTGAGACTGAAGCCTTGGTACAGACGTTCGCAGTTCCAGGTGCTGCTATGACCTCAGCTTCCTTGTCACACGATGGCGCCTGCGTACTCACCGCATCAACAGATGCCCGCGCACGCCTTTGGGATGTGGCCACCGGTAAGTGCTTGCTCCTTTTGGAGGGCCATGCAGGAACTCTCAGGTCCGCCCGCTTTCCCCACCCATGACTGCTAGGGTGGGAGGCAGCCGCCAAAAAGCTGGCAGAGAGGTCTATTCGGTTGCTACACGGGCAGTTTGCACAACAGGGAGTCAGGGAGGGGGGCCGCGCAATGTTGCCAACTTTCCGCTCAGGTCATCAGCGGCCTGAACACGTCCTCCGCGGCGTCGGCGCTGTTGGGACCAATGGTACAGGACGCGTGGGAGCTTGGGGCTGATGAGGGTTTGGGGTTTATAGGGTTTAGGGTTTCGGGTTTCGGGTTGTCATAGGGTAGTTTCATGGGCCCTTAGGCCCTCAGTATGGTCCCGTACCTCCTTTCAAGGGTTCTGATGTATGGGCCCTTTGTTTGTACAGGGTATGTAAGGGGTAGATAAGGGGTGCCCTTTTAAGGGCCCATACTAAGGGACCATGTAACTACCCGAAGAGGTTCGGGGCTTAGGGTTTCATGGGACAGGGATGCGACCGGCGGGTCCTCCGAAGTTCGGGCTCCGCGCTATGCCCGGTGCCGTCATTGCTTTGGGGCCTTCAAGTTAGGGTGTTGGGTCTTGGGGTTTTGTGGTTTAGAGTTTTGGGGGGGGAGGGTGCAGAGGTCCTGCAGGGTGCTGAGCTGAGCTCACGTTGAAAGTGCATACTTTCCACTTGGAGTACCTGTGCCCCAACACAGCAGTACAACCCTTGCACGAAAGCCTATAAACCTAAAGCCCTAAACCTTACAAACCCTAAACCTGAAATGCCCCACATTCCGCCTATATATATATAATTCAAGAGCATCTTGTGGCGCAGGCGAAGAAATGAGTCCGATGCCGACGGCCATGTAAATGCTGAGCCTACTGTACGTACGGACTGAGGTTGGTTGCTAACTCTAACGGCTAGATGGGGTGTCAGGGTTCAGGGTTTAGGGTTCAGGGTTCTCGGGCATTAGGGCTTTAGATTTATAGGGTAAGTTTAGATCTTGTTGTGAAGGCTGCTCGCCGTCGGCACCTGTTTTCGCATAGAGTTACGCCGCGTTCTCGCGTGTCACCCGAGCTTTAATTCGAGCCTGCTTGCAAAAATGCGCGGCTGACTGATTTCATCTTTCTACTGCGCCCTTGGCCCAACACCTTCTGTAGGGTTTAGGGGTTGCCCTTACAAGTAGCTCTGTGCTTTGTTTATCCCCGGAGTCAGGGGCGGAGAGATATTTGCACCTACTTTGCAGCAGCTGGGGGCCTTCCTTATCGGGTCAGGGTGCCTAAGGTCGGGCATTTCAGGGTTTAACTGAAGTTTCTGCAGGCTTTGCACTTTCATGCTTCTGATTTGAATGTGCAGCGCAGGAGCAGCGCAAAGATATGCAATCAGTAAACACACACATATACAGATACATATAGAGTTGAATTCATACACCCAAATCCACGATACTTGCAAGCTCATGGGGACATTGGAACCCCACTACTCAGACACGAGAGGCCTTGAGAATCCACATGGATAGCCTCCAGCTCCAGCGGTGCTGAGAAATCGTTTGTTTTTTGTCGCTTCCCACGTCTCAGACACCACCACATACCTGAACCACCCAGCAGTTCTTGGTTCCTGGGTTTTTTCTTACAGGTTTGGTAGACTTGACACTTGGCTGAGGCGTTCCGCAAGGTTGCCTGGGTGGTGCAGGTAGCTTTCCGCCTGCACAACAAGAAAAGCTCGTTGCATTGACCATCAGCTGCCCCCCCCCCCCCCCCCGAATCAGAGCTTAGAGTAGAAAATTCTATACACCGCAAAAGCAAACCCTAACCCCAAGTCATTCAAGGACCGTAAAGGGTCATTAGTTTACCGGCTCTTTGCACGAGTCCATCGAAGACAAAGAGTCCGTGGTTCGTCTTCCAGTCGGCCGCGAAACCCTAAACCCGACACTCGAAAAAAAGGCCAAAAACCTGCGACCTTCGATACACCGCACCACCCCCAAAGGGAAGAGTTCCCGTCTCCTGGGCGTGTTCTGCTGCATGTGCGCGCGGCTGCATGATGACTGCTTCGTCTCAGAGTGCTGAGTCCTCCACGACTTGTGAGGACCAATGGCTAGGTAAGTCTGAGAAGCCGCGCAGCTGTGAGATTGATCATCGGCTTGGGCGTTGACGGTGAGTTGTCGAGGTCCGTCGCTTCTGCTGAAAGCCACGCATGAAGCCACAAAAGGTGCAAACATGGATGCCCCAAACCCCTTGGCTGCCACTCCCTAGTTCTTCCCCAGCAGCGAGGAAGCGCAGAGCCCTGAACTCCAAGAAGAGTCCCAGCCCCCCTTCCCAAGCCGTATAAAGCCAGCCTTGTATCCGTCTGAAGAGCCAAACCCTGCGATACACTTCTAGAATGAATGTTCCTAACCTAAGGACTCTTGATGCAATGCTTTAGGCCTGGGGGGTCGCATGACACAAGGGCTTAGGGCCGTTTAGGGTTGTGCAGCGGCGCGTCCTTCCGCTTTGCTCGCGCTTGCCCGACGGGGCGCCGCGTGCTGCGTGAGTTGCGGTCGGGCATGCATTGCACATCGTGGCTGCATGATGACTGCCACGTCTCAGAGTTCTGAGTCGTCCACGACTTGTGAGGACCAAAGGCTAGGTAAGTCTGAGATGCCACGCAGCTGCGAGATTGATCACCTGCTGGGGTTTGACGTGTGGGCTGTTGAGGTCCTTTGCTTTGCATTTCGAAAGCAGCCTGCCGTTCTCTTTGCAGGGCGGCGCCGTGAAGCCCTACATACTACACTGAAGCAACACTTGGCCACAAACCTGAACCGAAAGCTTACGACCTTACATAATATAAACCGAAACCCCACCCAAAGGGAAGAGTTCCCTTCTCCTGGGCGTGTTCTGCTGCATGTTCGCACAGCGGCTGCATGATGACTGCTTCGTCTCAGAGTGCTGAGTCCTCCACGACTTGTGAGGACCAATGGCTAGGTAAGTCTGAGAAGCCGCGAAGCTGCACCAAGAGTGCCCCCAAGCGTGTCTGCACGTCGTCCAACCGGAGCCCTAAAAATGCTATCATTGGTCACCAGTAGGTTGCCTGGATGCTTCCGACCTCCTTCCCTGTCTCAAGCCCGCGGCAGCCATATGCGCATCGGGAGCAGCACAGAGGTTTCATACTTCTACACCAGTCCTATACGGAAAGTAGGCACGAGTAGGCTCAATGGGGTTGGAAGTCGAAGCCAAAGGGCTTGGACCTTGCTGTGTTTTTGGTGGGTTAAGTGTTTTTTGAGGTTTAGTGGTTTAGGGTTCAGTTTTGTCTTCTAAGTCTAGTCATCTAGGCCAAGGCCAGCGCCATCTCGGGGCACTCCGGCCCTCTGGCCCGACCACCATGCAGGGCTACCCGCGCTTCTGCGGCACAGTGGTGGGGATGTTGGGCATGAACTCAGCTACAGCTATTCTCCTCTGCAGGATCTCCTGTACTTCGGTTTTTTTACCCCAAAACAACCTTCAGAGCCCCCCCCCCTCTCCCTTGTGGTCCCTGCTTGCTGGCACTCAAGGTCCTTTGTGTGGGGATCGCCGAGGTCAAAAACCTTCATGTTACCTGAATTCCCCAGCTTTCTCTGCACCCAGGGCGCCAACATCTGCCGCAGCCTACACAGCTGCTGGCCTGAGTGGGCTCAATGAGCTTGGCCCTGAGATGAAAGTGCCCCCGAAAGTAACAGCCTGCACCCCTCAGCAACCCCCAAACCGAAACCCTAAACCGAATGAAGGCCTAAACCCTAGACCCCGACCCCGAAACCCTTGCCCTAAACTCTTAACCCTTGAATGGCCGTCGAAGTGGGCCTTCGCTTCCCCCGCCGCCCCCCCCCCCTCCCCCCTCCACTTCCTCCCCCCTCCAGTTTTCTGTGAGTTTGGGCATGCCTTCATCCTTCGACCAAAGGCAGCGCTTAACCTAGCAGCAGGGGGGGAGTCCGCCTGGTAAAACCCTGTAACAGCCCTACACCCCTGGACCCTATAAACCTTGTACCATACACCTTGTAAACCTTAAACCATAGACATCCTAGACTCCTAGACCCGAAGCAACGCACCCAAAACACCAAACCTCATACGATGGCATCCTCGTTGGCTCTGGAAACAATCCTAAAGCCTTCGGTTTAGGATCGAGACCACATGGAGTGGTGGTCCTAACACCTGGTGTACTCCAGGCACTCATGGTAGCTTATAACCCCTACATCCCAAACCCCCACAAACTTGTAACGCCAAGCCCGAAGGACCGGAAGTGCAGACAAGAAGCGATGAAACATGCCACGGCCAAGATGCGCTCTAAACCCTAAATCCTAAACCCTAAACCCTAAACCCCAAACCCTAAACCCTAAAGCCTAAAGCCTAAACCCTAAACCCCCCCGTCAAACACGATCAGCCCCTGAAGCAGGCACCAGGTGCTCAGCGTGCTCCTCCACTTGGCTCCTGCGACTTGGCGTCTTCGAAAGAAGCCCAAGCCAACAGCACTCTTAGAGCACACCCTCAGAACTTATTCAAGGTGTTGGGGTTAGTTTAGGGTTTAGGGTTTAGGGTTCAGGGTTTCGGGCTTAGGGCTTAGGGTTTAGGGTTTTCCAAATAGCACAAGGTAGGTATGCTTCGTGTGCTTCAAGCCCTTGGGCCAAAACCTACCGAATATATTTTAGGGTTTTAACCCCCAACCCTAAACTGTAAACCCTAAGCCCTATGATTCTTCCCTACATGTTCTTGGGTTTTAGGTTTATAGGGTTTTACCCCTCATACCCTAAATGCCCCCACATACCCTGCAGACCCCTAAACGCTCCCCAATTTTGTCCCTAAATGCCCTGAGTTCCCGAAATCCCCCTAAAGTCCTTGCATTCCCCAAGCCCCAACGCACCCTAAATCCCCTCAAGCTTCTCCCTAAACCCTAAACCCTAAACCCTAAACCCTAAACCCTAAACCCTAAACCCTTCTGGAGAGCTGACTGTCCTGGGGCCTGTGTTTTACAATGGTTTCTATGCGTTTTTATAGGAAATTAAAGTGTAATGTGTAATTTACTACTATACACGAACAGTATATTAAAAATGATTTGGAAGACAGATGCATGCGTTGGAAGATGCAGATACATTGGAGATTGGAGTGGCGTTCTTTTCAGAAGTGAATGCATGGAAGCCTGTGGACTTGTTGGTTTTCATCGCGCGCCCCCCGCCGATGTCAAACTGCGATGCACCACTGTTTACTTCCCGGATGGCTTCTTGAGCGCGGATGGCTTCTTCAGCACTTCCGGGGGGTGCAGGAGTAGGAGACGGAGCGTCTTGTGCCCTTGTGGGGGTACTGGGACAAATACGGATATCCATCCCTCTGCATGGCCTTGTTGTGCAGCTTGCAGAAGTAAAGAACTTTAAACGAGTGACGCATTGCAGTTGTTTCATTCAACACCCTGGCATAGTTTCTAAACCATGCAAACACCTGCTCAGCGGCAGAGGTGTTAATGCCCTTGAATCGTCGGGCTAGACGCGGGATTTGGTGTGGATTGCATGGGCAGGAAGCACTATGGCCGCGGGCGTGAAACAGGTCAACGGACCAATACTTGATTTGCTTGAATTTTGCCTGTGACTTGGCACGCGGCAGAAACGAGCACACCCGATCAATGATCACTCCGTTCATTGGTCAGGGCTAGCATTGTGGTATGCGTAGTGAACCGCTTCTTCGGTGCTGCCAACCATGCTTCGAAAGCCTCCTGCGCATGTACATCCCATCCGCCCTTGACTCCGGTAACGACATTGAGTGTGCGCTGGATGTAGCACATGTGTGACTGAATCTGCCGTGCGGTGAGGGTTTTCTTGGAAGTGTGGACAACCAAGTCGCCGGTGTTGATTTGCGCCAAAACATTCGCCACATCAGGCGGATTTGTGATGGATGATGAGGCCGGCGATGGCGAGGTAATAGCGTTCGATGAGGATGCCGCTTCGGATTGAAAGGTGAGGTTCTTCAACTTTAAACTGCAAACGCCCTAAACTCAATCACACCGGCAACCGCTGCGGAACGCTTCACGGCAACTACCCGTGAGGATACGAATACACTACGGAGAACACTTGGATCAGGAATTGCTGCGTACGAGTACATTTCTGAATACATCACTTTCCAGATTCCCGATCGCGGAGGGGGCGGGGGACTCTTGGCATGTTGAGCTTATGTTGGAAGACCCTACCCTAAACCCTAAACCCTAAACCCAACACCCTAAACCTTAAACCTAAAACCAGTCGAAGGCTCTTAAGCCGTGCTCTTCTGAGGTGGACGCTGCTCGCGTGTCCATGACCTCCAAGTCGGAGGCTGGGGTTCAAGATTTAGGGTTTGGGGTTTAGGGTTTAGGGGTTTAGGGTTTGGGGTTTAGGGTGTAGGCTTCAGGCTGTAACTTGGTTTTGGGATTTAGGGTTATAGGGCTTGACGGGGAGAGCGGGGGAGTTATCTGCAGATCTTAAGCAACTTACGAGCAATCCTCAAACAGAACTCGCTTGGCCCAAACGAGAACCCTCCCCCTAAACCCTAAACCCTAAACCCTAAACCCTAAACCCTAAACCCTAAACCCTAAACCCTAAACCCCCCCCCACCCCGCCCCTCCCCTCCTTGCCTGGCGGCACGTTCTCTTCCCTTTTGGTACCCCTTGCTTGTCGGGTACCCCAGTACCCCATGGCCTGAACCCCAAAACCACCATGCTCCAACATGGCAAGCCATGCTGTAAAGGTTGCACTCGATATCTCGGCTGGGATAGGATGCCGGGTTTAGGGATTAGGGCTTAGGGTTTAAGGTTCTCATGGTTTGGAGAGGGTTTGGGAGTTGCCGAGCACAACGTTATCTAGACGTGCAGGTTGAGCCTTCTGCTGTCAGAGGATGTGCTGTTCTTGGGCTAGGTAGCTACAGATCCCGAATCCCTAAACCCTAAACCCTAAACCCTCAACCCTCCAAAAAGCTCCATTCAAGACCCTTCCTTCTGAAGCTTCTTCGCAGATGTTCCACCGCTCCGCACTGATGGACACGCTGTGGGAGCGGCATGTCAGGCCACCACCCTAAACCCTAAACCCTAAACCTTAAACCCTAAACCCTAAACCCTGAACCCGAATAAACCACCCAGCCCTCTAAACCGTAAAGGGCAGGGTTCAGTGGGTCTAGGGTTTGGGGCGGGGTTTTCCCCAAAATTCAAGGGTTCACTCAAGGGTACAGCCATGGGGGTCCAAAACTTCCTGAGCCCCCCCACCCCTCCCTCCAACCCTAAACCCTAAACCCTAAACCCTAAACCCTAAACCCTGAACCCTGAACCCTAAACCCTAAACCCTAAACCCTGAATCCAAACCCTAAACCCTAAACCCTGGGTGTAGAGATCCATCTGCAGGATGGGTGTGTAAAGCATGTCAGGGCCGTTTATGAGGCTAAGTCTGAAGCCGTGCTGCGGAGGAGTGAGGTCTTCGCTAGGCAGACACAGCTTTATGTGGGTTTAGGGTTTAGGGCTCATGAAGGGTGCCCGAATGTCGAAACACAGAATATATTCAGTCAATGTCTTATAAGTGCAGGCCCCCCTTGAAATCTTGGGTGGGCTTACGTTTATAAGCAGTTACTATACTTTGATGTATATTTCGAGGGCGGTGTCCACATCTTGTTTCTCGCTTTGGTCTCAAGCTGGGGGGGGGGGGGGGGGGGGGGGCGGGTTTCCAGTGATTTGTTGTTCCGGAGAGCTGGTTGAGGGTTACCCTAAACCCTAAACCTGAACCCTGAACCCTAAACCCTGAACCCTAAACCCTAAACCCTCCAACACCGTCGCTGTTTGCACCTCGAGTCACTCGGCGGTAGTTCCACACGTGCGGCACCCACGGAATGGCGGCGACAAGGTGAGGCTTCGGTCGTAGAGATTGGTAGGGCTTATGGCTGAGTTAATTTTAGGGTTTAGGGTTTAGGGTTTAGGGTTTAGGGTTTAACCCTAAACCCTAAACCCCCTTATGGTGCAGGGGCTTAGGGTTTGGGGCTCAAGGCTGTCGTGGGGATCTGGAGTTGCAGGAATTGTGTGGAATGGAGCACGGCTTCAATTTCCAAGGCCTCCTTCAACCAGACCCTTACAAGCCCTGCAGGGTTTAGGGTTTAGGGTTTAGGGTTTAGGGTTTAGGGTTTTTGCCCCTTACCCGAACTCAAGATGAGGTTGCTGCCGCTGCTCTTCACGCTCACTGTAGGCCGCCCCGAGGGGGTGCCCCCTTCTAGCGGCCTCTGGATTGCTCCTGTGGCTTGCCTGATGCCAGCTATGCTATACAGTGTTTGGGGGAAGGGGATTCGGGTGTAGACGCCCTGTTTAGGTTCCATACGAATAATTGTGTACTTGCGGTGGGGGTTGGGAGGGGTTGTTCTCCCCCCCCCCCCCCCCCCCCCCCCCAAAATAAAAAAGAAAAGGCAGGGCTTGGATTTTGGATTGAGTGTGTCCGGGGGCTCCTGCCTTGGATTGTGGCCTTCAGACAGACTACCAACGGCAGCGCGAGCGTAAGCCCCTTGGAAAAGAGCGTCGACATAGGTGAGAATCCTTCGTTTCGCCTGATACCCGGAGGAGGGGGGGATTCGAATGATTCGGTTTGGGGGTTGCTCCTTCCTGCAGGCCCCAAACCCTATCAATTTCCACATCCTCATGGTAGAACTATAGGTGTCTGCGTTCGACCAATCGATAGATAGAGGATAGAGCCAGGCTAGGGGTTAACATTGGGGTGTGGGGCTTGGGTCTTTTTGCGCCCGAAACCCTAAACCCTAAACCCTAAGCCCTAGGCCCTAAACCCTAAACCCTAAACCCTAAACCCTAAACCCTAAACCCTAAACCCTAAACCCTAAACCCTAAACCCTAAACCCTAAACCCTAAACCCTAAACCCTAAACCCTAAACCCTAAACCCTAAACCCTAAACCCTAAACCTAACCCTAAACCCTAAACCCTAAACCCTAAACCCTAAACCCTAAACCCTAAACCCTAAACCCTAAACCCTAAACCCTAAACCCTAAACCCTAAACCCTAAACCCTAAACCCTAAACCCTAAACCCTAAACCCTAAACCCAAACCCTAAACCCTAAACCCTCAACCCCGAACCCTGAACCCTAAACCCTAAACCCTAAGATGCTTCGAAAACTTGCCAAGGCGAGTGACCCACATCTCCGACGCCTTCAAGCATCAGGCACCCCGCAGGAGTACTCCGTGGACGTTCGTGTGGCAACTGGGCCGCGTTCTATGTGTGGTCGTTGTTACCCTAAACCCTAAACCCTAAACCCTAAACCCGAAAGCTGTAGGGGGACTCGACCAAAGCTTTAACTGGTCAATCAGAATCCCGGGCCCCGATGGATCTTAACAGCTTTGCTTGGCTGGTGTTGGGGGACCTTTGCCTTTTTTGGCCGTTTTGGGTTTCGGGTTTAGGGTTTGGGATCCAGGGCCTAGGGTCGGAATATTGTACGAAGGCGCTGTGAAGTCATGGGCAGGAGCATAGGGCAGCTGTCATGACAAGACTCTGGTGCCTTCACGGGGCGGAGATACACTCCGAACTATCTCGAAAGTAACTTCGGATAGAGAAGGACAGCAGTGAGGGGTGAAGCTTCTGCCGAAGATGTTGGCTAGAACGCCTACAGTACCCCCATTCCCTGGGGTTAACTATTGATATTACTGAAGTTATAAAGTGCTTTGACAACAGTGTTTTGATGTGTAATTTATGCACTTTCGTAAGCTGACTCCAGCAACACCCGGATCCCCTTTTCGCCAAGCTACCGGGCACAGCGCCTGAACCCCAACAGCACCCCAAACCATGTACTCCAAGTACTTAGGTTTTGTAAGGCCTAGGATTTTGGGTCAAAGGTCTGCAGGTTAAGTTTATGAGGCGTTAGGGTTGAGGATTTGAGGGTTCAGGGGCGTCTGCCAGTTTGCCTGAAACAAACCTGCAACCCTAAACCCTAACCCTAAACCTCTAATCCCTAAACTCTAAACCCTAAATAAACCCTAAACCCTAAAACAAAGGTGAAGAAAGACGCTTTCGGCCCCGAGCCCGCCAGGGTGGATGCACCTCGGTGAAAAACCGAAGCGCCCAACAACAAAACTCTAAAGAACCCAAAACCCTAAAGCCCCAAAGCCGGTCGGCAGCGCCCTAAAACCCTAAAGCCCTAGAGAATCCTGAAACCCTAGAACCCTAAACCTTACAACCCTGGGAACTGGTTGCCCTTGCATGTGGCCCTTCCCCCAGCGCCCCTCTGAGGGCACATGCCAGCCAGCCGCCTTGTCAAGCTCATCCTTACTCCCCCTCAATGCCACCACTCCACCCGAGTCTTCAACCCCACAACCCTAAACCCTGTGAAGCCTGACAACCCTAAACCCCGAAATGTAGGGAGTCTGAAACCCTAAGCCCTATATGATCGATGTGATGGGGTGATTGACAGGAAGGGTCCTGTCTCGATCACAGTGTGGAGGATGGATGGTTGTTCAGGGTTTCGGGTTTAGGGTTTCGGGTTTAGGGTTTGGGGTTGTCCGGGTTGAGGTTTTCGTGTTTAGGGTTTAGGGTTGTCCGGGTTGTCCGGGTTGTCCGGGTTGAGGGTTTCTTTCTTTGGGTTGTTCGGGTCCAGGTTAAGGGGGTTTATCGGGTTTAGGGCCATTCGGGACTAAGACTCGAGGGCACGTGGCTAGCGCGGGTGCCCCATTTTCAGGATGGCTGCCTCCAGCCCGGTCTAAACTGGGCTTTGGAGTACCATACTTTAATACTTTTTTTGGTTTTGGGTTCCCATTATAGCTACTTATACCTAAAAAGTATATACTTTCTTTCTGGGCCTACTCCAGAGGTAGGTAAATCCCCAGCAGGAATATCGAAGGAAAGGCCTGCATCTTGCCCTAAACCCTAAACCCTAAAACCTAAACTCTAAACCCTAAGCCCTAAACCCTAAACCCTAAGCCTAAACCCTAAAACCCTAAACCCTAAACCCTGTGTGGTTCCGCGAGCGACGTGCCGTCTAAGCTCCCTTCTGCCCTCCAGTCTCCAGTCGGAAGCCCGGAAGCTCAGCCCCAGGTCCCCGAAGCCCTACACCCGAATTGCCGAACTCTTGCCGTCCTAAACCCTAAACCCTAAACCCTAAACACTAGTACTGAATTCCTGTCAAGGTCTCCTTCGTCCCACCCGGCCACCTCGAAAGCCAGAGGAGTCCGGTTGGGGGTCTAGAGTTTTGGGTTTAGGGTGTGGGGGTTTAGGGTTTAAGGTTTGGGGTTTAGGGTTGGGGGTTTATGGTTTAAGGTTTGGGGTTTAGGGTTTGGGGTTTAGGGTTGGGGGAGGGTTTGCCGGGCTTCGGGCGTTCCAGGGGGGCTGCTAAGGAAAAGCGAGCCGTCTGGATAGTTTTTGTTAGGCAAAAGAGGCCTCCTAAGGGTTTAGGGTTTATGAGCTTTGAAATGCAGGTGTGTGTGTATATATATATATATGAGCAAGTGCCAAAACCCCCAGCCATTCAAGTAAGTAAGGGGGTGGACACGAATGCCCAAAACGCGGTAAAACGATGGGAACACTTGAAAAGCGACACCCCTAAGTTAATGAACCGTTGGGTGGGCTATAGCCTTGAGTTTTTCCCAAAGCGACACCTGCAGACATCAAACGTGGACAACTGGCGCTAAAACCCTGTAAAGCGATGGGAACACTTGAAAAGCGACACCCCTCATGTTGAGCACCACCAGCCGGTTTTGTATAAACAGATATGTGTATGTATGTATGTATGTATGTATGTATGTATGTATGTATGTATGTATGTATGTATGTATGTATGTATGTATGTATGTATGTATGTATGTATGTATGTATGTATGTATGTATGTATGTATGTATGTATGTATGTATGTATGTATGTATGTATGTATGTATGTATGTATGTATGTATGTATGTATGTATGTATGTATGTATGTATGTATGTATGTATGTATGTATGTATGCGCGTGTGTGTGTGTGTATATATATATATATATATATATATATATTGTTTATAGGCGGGGGATCGGTGCTTGGCCGGGCTTCTAGCTTCTGGACCTTTGCAGGGTCACCGTGTCTTTCCCGGACACGAACGGCAACGCCGGCACAAGGATCCCGAAGCTTTGCCTTAAAAGGGGCCTTGAAGGAGCGACCCTTGTAAGGGCCCTAAAAAAGGGGTCGGAATAGTTCCGAATAGGAATCCCTTATACGGTCCCTTTAGAAGTATACTACAATAACCCCCAAAACCTTAGTCTAATTATCCAAGCCCCTATCGTAGGGGGTTGGGGTCCATTCCGCTGTAGTGCCTCTGTCCCACCTTTTTGTTTTGGGGCTACAGGGACTCACGCAGCTTGAGGTTTCAAACCCTCAACCTTGAACCCTAACCCAGAACCCTAAACTAAACCCTGAACCCTGAACCCTGAATCCTGAACCCCGAACCCTAATCGGTTGAGCCTATGCATCGACGTCTGAAGGCATTCGGACTTGGCGGCTTTAGGGTGGCGATGTTAGGTGGGTTTAGGAGCTCATCCCAGCGCTCCAAAGCCCTGAGCTCTAAACCCTGAACCCTCTACCCGAAATATCAAACTTGGAAACCTTAAGATCTTCAAGGCTAAAAGCCCCAGAGCTCCAAAACACCAAACCTCCCCACCCCTATCCCCAATCGCTTTGAACACCAATAAAGACCAACCCCCTAGACCCTAAAACCTAAACCCTTTTGACCCTCAAACCCTAAGCCCTATAAACTCCAAGGATGGGTCTCCAGGATGGCGCGTCGGTGCCTGGGAGGGGGGTTTGGAGTTCAGGGTTCAGGGTTCAAGGTTGAGGGTTTAGGGTTCAGGGTTCAGGGTTTAGGGTTTAGAGTTTAGTTAGGGTAAGGCTGAGGCTCTAACGCGTTGCAGTCCTCATGAAACAAGCAGGGGGCACCCCCTTTATGTGGCAACCTAGATTCAGGGTTCAGCGGTTTAGGGTTTAGGGTGCGGAGACTGGCTGGGAGCTGGATGTAGGCGGTTCAGGTGCTGACGGGTGTAGGGATGATACATGATGATACGAGGCTTCATGGCGGCCCCACCCTAAGCCCTAGTTCTCAAATTAGGGTCCCGGAGCCAAGCATTCCCGTATAGGTCTTGCCCTTGCATTCCAGAGGTTTTGTGAATGCATGTAAAGGGTCTTATATATATATACATATACATATATCTATATATGTATATATATATAGGGTTCAGGAATAGAGGGGCCAAAGGTAGAGCTGCATGGCAAGGTGAACATCTCGGGCTTCGAGGAGACGGATGCCACTCAGGCAAACCAGTTGAAGGCACCCGCCTCACTTCGAACCCTTTAAGGCTCTTCCCAATACTAGGGGGCGAAGGGCAATTTCTACTAATTGCTTACGACCCCCGAACAAATGTTCTTCCTGATTAAGGGTAATATAGGGATGATTATTTCTTTTTCTTTTGGGGGTTCTTAAGCAAATAGTAGTTTTGTACCCTATAGAGTCCCTGAAAGGGTTATATGGGCGGACATACGGTACCTAAATCCCCCCCAAATCCCTCCTTTCAACCGGTGGCTTCCACCCCAAACTCCCCTTGTGAGCTTCCTGGTGCTTAAGGGCAGGGAAGGGGGCTTGGGGGGACATGCGGTAAGATTGGTGTGCTTATACCCACCCTTGAGCAACAGTAAGCTCCGATGATTGCAGTAGGGGAGACGAGCAGTCGATACACCGCAGACCATTTGTTGAAAGCCTCGGCTCTTTGTTGGTTCTGTCAGTTTTGGTTAGTATAGGGAATCAAGGTGAATAGTAGGAACATTCAGCGTCTTACCTTACATCCTAAGGCCTAAACCCTAATTCCCCGAAACCAGCCAACAGCAAGAGGCAAGAGCCGCCTCTACTCCAAAAACCTCAGCGCTTCACAGTCGGGAAAGAGGGTTTATTTGGGGGGATAGATAGGTACCAGTTTCCGAACTCCCCTGTTTAAGAGCTATACCTGGTATTGCTTTGGGGCTTTGGGAGAAAGTTAAATTTCCCTCCTTTCCTGTTTCAGGGAACCTATTCATAAATCATTGTCAAAGGGCTTTACAGCAACACCCAGTATAGTAAGTATAGTGAGAGAAGCATGAGTCCAGCTGCCCTGACGAGGCCGGCATGTTGGATCAGGCGCTGGCGGCGGGCCAGTATGCCGCGCGGACGCCATTTCAATCCCCAGCGCCCAAATGACCCCCACACTCCCAAAGGACCCCGCAGAGGAGCAGACCCGAAGACCCGAAGACCCGAAGGCCCTCTTGGGGTTACCCGAAAACCTTATGGGGGTTGAGCTGGAAGAGCTTGTGGAGGTCCAGCCTGTGGAGACAGAACATTCTTAGAAGTCCGCCAAATCCACCCCGCGATTCAACCCCAAAATCCAGGCCCCGAATCCCCGGCAAAGAACAAGACAAGGTGGAGTCGGCAACCTCAGCCCTCAACAGCGCCAGGCTACCAGTGAGGTCTGGCAAAGGTGCAGAAGAACATGGTTCCAGGAATGAAGTCGGTGTGTAGTAGGACCACATTTGTCGGGGTCTTCCCTCCGATTTTGACCTAAGTCCCGGACCCTAGATTCCTAACTCCAATCAACCCCAAAGCCTGGACCCTGTCAAGGTTCTAGATTTTAGGGGGTTTAGGCAAATCCCCTAAACCCTAATGCCCCAAACCCCATAGTCCCTAACCCTGCGTTCCCTCTGAGGGTAGTTCATAGGCCCTGAATCCCTAACCTCCATGGAATTAAAGGGTTCTGATGTATGGGCCCTTATTTGTATCGGGGTATGCTAGGGGTTGATAAGGGCCCCATACTAAGGGACCAGAAGCCACCCTTAGATCCCCCGAAGCGCTGAGGCCGCCAATATCAAGCCGGAGGAGGCCGACAAGCGTGGCGTCTTCGTGGCCTCAAGATTGGAGTGCCTTCGACTCCCTAAACCCTGAACCCTAAGCCCTAAAAAACCCTCAACCCTAAAGCCTCTCTCGGAGCATTGTTAGGGATTTCGGGAGAGACTCTGGTCTTTTCAGGGATCTTGGGGGTGTTTAGGGCTTTAGGGTTCTTTGTAGGGATTTGGGGGAATTGGGCTGTTGGGAGTGGTGGGTTTCTTTTTCGGCCTCTTGGGGTTTGGGCTCTGTTAATGGGGACTTAGAGCTTCAAGTGTTCGAGGGTTTTGGGTCCAGGGTTTTGGAGTTTAGGGTCCTGCGGGCCCAAAAAGGCCTTGCAAGGTCTCAAAGGGGATTCATTGAAGGTTGAGGGCTCATGAGGGTTTAGGGCTCAGGGTTTATGACTTCGGGGTGTTTTGAGGGTTTGAGGCTTACAGCCTCTGCCATATATGCAATCCTCAATCCGAAGTAAACCCTACAGACCCTATATTTATTAACCCTACAGACCCGAAAGACCCGACAGACCCGTGCAATTGCTACAAGCCGCCAGGCCCTAGAAAAAAGCTCGAATCCAACAAACCCGACATCACGTCAACCCTGCACCCACAACCCTAAACCCTAAACCCTAAACCCCAAACCCTAAACCCTGAACCCTGAACCCTGAACCCTGAACCCTGAACCCTGAACCCTAAACCCTGAACCCTGAACCCTAAACCCTGAACCCTAGACCCTAAACCCTAAACCCTAACCTAAGAGCCAGGTACGAGCGAGATGCGGGCGTTTTGGCCGGAAGCCGACGGCTCCAGGGGAGGCGCGGCTTGAGGGGGAGTCGGTAGCTTAGGGTTTAGGGTTTAGGGTTTAGGGTTAGTGGTTAGGGTTTAGGGTCTATAGGGTTTAGGGTTTGTTGGCTGTTTTGGGTTGAGGGGCTTAGGGCGTTCAGGGCTGTTTTTGGGGGGGCTTTGGGGAGTTTAGGATTTTTTCCGGGTGTAGGGTCTTTGGGCCTTTCGCATCTTAGGGTAAGAGCCCTCTTTCCCCTCTACAGGATGATTCTTCTCCTGGCTGCCCTATACACACGAGGGGCTTTGGTTGCAATGGGAGTCCCAAGAAGGACCCTAAACCCTCAACCCTAAACCCTAAACCCTTAGCCCTAAACCCTAAACCCTATAAACCCTATAAACCCTATAAACCCTAAACCGAGACATGGCTATGTAGGCCCTGGTGGCAGCCCAACTTCACATCCTACACCCCATCTGCGGCTCCCTTTGCCTACTATTTTTGAGGGTACTTATACCCTGTATTTAGGGGGGCAGGGGGGGTTACTACGGATTTGTAGGGTTTGAGAGTCACAGGCAAACCTTCACATCCTCAAATCCAGCAGCTCCCAACACCCCTGAAACCCTAGGGGTTCCTGTAGGGCTTAGTTTCTATGGTTTAGTGCTTTGGGGGCGTTTGGGCTCGAAGGCCTTCTGAGGTTTGAAACCCCGACCTTGCTCCTCCCTGGTCCCCGGATTTGCAAAAAAATCGTTTCCCTTTTCTTGCTAGAAGAAGGACACCCCACATGTGGTTGCGCCCCTGGCGGGCCCCTGGCCATCACCCCCCCCCCCCCCCCGGGCACCCCTCTCGTGTTTGGTTCAGGTTAGGGTGATATGGGCTTAGGGCTTTAAATTCCGCACCGCCAAAATATTTACGGAACCCTGTATACACTCACACCAAACCTTCATGTTGAAATACAGCCGAAACCCTAGGCCCTATACCCCGTATATCCCGCAAAACCCTAAAGAAAGGTCCCGAACCTTGCCTCGCATCCCTCGGGTCTGTGCAGGAGACTTGGCAACGCAGCAGCGCAGAACACGGCAGCGGCTTAGCTGGTCGCGGGTGTAGGACGTTTACGGGGGTTTTGGGGGGGGGGGGGGGGGGGTTTGGGGGGTTTTGGGATCAGGGGGTTTTAGGCTTTCGGATCCGAAACTCTAAGCTTCCTGCTGGGGATTCAACTCGGGTGCTTTAGGTTTGGGGACGCGGTTGGGCTTTGTTTGGGTCGGTGAAATTGCAAGGCTGCCGAAAGCCCAAACCCGAAGCCGCCAGGTTTCGGGTTTAGGGTTTACGGTTTAGGGTTTCGGGTCTCGGGCTTCGGGTTCAGGGTTCAGGGTTTAGGGTTTAGGGTTGAGGGTTGGTTGATGCCAACTTTGAGAGCAGTCGGCTGGATGCTTGCATCGAACACCGCGGGCTTCTCCAGGTGATCGTGCTCTACGAGCCTTGTGGCAACAGCCTAAAAGCTGACACGACGAAGGCACTGGCAGCATGTAGTGCTGGGGGGCTTTGCTGGCTTCAGGGTGCAATTGGAGATCATCCGGTCATGACACCTCCGTAGATAGGGACCTTATAGGGTTATGGGCTTACGCATGTGTGATTTTTGGGTCAATTTCTAGCAGACCTGCCCCTCGGAGCTTCGGCCTGCCCTGGCGTGGCCCTAGACCCTACAAGCGATCCTGAACGCAGCGCCCAGCGTCGCACAACTTATCCTTATGTGCGTCGACAACGCCTGCTAAAGCCCTCTCGACCCCGGGAGTGTAAGCCTCCTAAACCTTCAACCTTATGCTCACGAGCTGCTTTCTTCAGGGCTGCCATAGGATTCAGGGGTTCATAGGAGTTTACGGTTTAGGGTTTGGGGTTTTGGGGTTTTAGGTTTTAGGGTTTGGGGTCGTAGGGTTTGGCACCGCCTGAGAAGTTTTGGGTGCTCCTGTTACAGAACTAAGCATCTCCCCCTTATTCGCTTTTTCTGAGTTGATGTTCCGACATAAGCTCACAAAAGGCAAGACATGGCACTTGTTTTCTTGCCAAATTTCTGGGCATCCTAGTCAAACTTCGGCACGATGACTTGTTTTTTTATTCCTTTGCATGTACAAACACCGACTCGAATCTAAGTTGGGCTTCTGACTCGCGGCCCAGAAATTGCTGCATGGTAAATGACTCGGCCGTGGTTTCCCCTACAAAACTAGACAGGCAAAGGGGGACCCTAAATCCAGAAGCTCTTCGTCCCAAGCTGGGCTTCGGCCTTAAAGGAGGAGGTCACGGTCGGAACACATATACTCTGCAAAATCATACGTAGAATTCTCCTTTTCCGGGGTTAAGGCTTTGGGGTTTAGGGTTTTTGGGCTTTGGGTTTTAGGGTTTGGGGTTTAGGGTTTAGGGTTTAGGGCTGGGAGGATCGCTTGCAGAGCGCCTTCTTCGACAATACGGCTGGATCGTTCAACCAGGCACCGCGGCTACTCCTGAGGTTCACTATTGGGGACCCTAAACCCTAAGCCCTAAACCCTAAACCCTAAAACCTAAACCCTAAACCCTATAGACCCAAACAGCAGGGGTCCCATAGAACTAGGACCCCAATAAGGTACCCCTATTGCCGTAAGCCACTTGGGCTTGGGTTTTTGTTCTGTGGATGAGGCCCTGATGCGATGTTTGCGGGATGCGACACATTTTGTTCAATTATGTTCATCTTTTCTCATGTAGTGTCATTCATTTTTTGGGGGTGAGAGGTCGGCAAGAAAATATCATAGGGCCGATGACGGGATTCGATATGTTTTGTAGGGTGGAGTGATAGTGCTGAGCTGTAGGGGTTCCCAGAGCTCGCAGGAAGAGCTGAGTATCTAGAGACCCAACCGCTGCGGGTCGCAATGACAAAGCTCACCTGGGAGACTTATATATACCATGCCCCTAAAGGCTAAACCCTAGACCCTAAACCCTAAAGTCCTATTCATAGCCCGAAGCTCCAAACCCTGCTTGGCATCCTACCCAACAGAACGCCTACACCTACACCCCTCGCTCTCGTTTGCAGGTGCTGGGCACCTGCTCCCGCCAGACGGTGAGCTTCACTGGCGATATAGCCTTTCGTCCCAGAGTGTAGGGTTTCAGGGGTTAGGCGTTTAGGGTCTTTAGAGGTGGGTTTTAGTTTGAACTCTTGTCTCTTCCCGCAAGTCTCAATCAAGCGTCTGTTTCACTGGGCGCGCTCTGAACCGGGAGAAGGCGTTTGGATTGCAGGGTTCGGGTTGAGCGCTTGAAAGGCGTAGAGCTTTACACCTTGGTAGAACCGAACCCGAGCCTGAGCCTGAAAATCACAAATCCATGGTGGCACCCTGAGGCCTTAACTACAGCCGCAGACCCTAAAAGTCTCAAGACCATCCAAGAACAAACAGCATCCGGGCCCCAAAACTCCCCCCAAAACCAACAACCCAAACCCCCCGACGAAAAAAGCCCTCAACGCCGCCCAACAAAAGCACAAGTCCCCCACCCTCAGAATCCCCCACCCTCAGAATCAAGCAAACACAAGCAAACCTTCCCCCCCCCCCCCCCAAATAGAAAAAGCTTTCCCAGAATTCTACTACGTGCTCAAGAACACCAAAAAAACAAATACACGGGGAAGCAAATAGTTACCCCGAAACCCGAAACCCGAAACCCTAAACCTAAACCCTAAACCCTAAACCCTAGTAGATACCGAACTCGGAGGTTGGCCCGATTCAGGGCTGCCCCGACTCCTCCGACGTCTGGGCAACCTACAACAAGATCCGCGAGCAGCTTGAAGGTGGGTGTTGAGGTTTCCCATTGAAGGTTTAGGGTTTAGGGTTTAGGGTTTAGGTTTTAGGGTTTAGGGTTTAGGGTTTAGGGTTATCTTCCGCTGCTCCTTCTAAGGGTGATGGACTGTTAGGGGTGCCTTGCATCCCCATGAACATGAACTGGACCCTGAGAACTGCTCGAGACTCCAGGCGCTAAAGCAGTCCCTCGTTAACACCCCGGGCAAATCCTAAAACTCTCCGGGCTTGAATGAGAGCTTTCCACGCACATAGCACGCACGCACGCACGCACGCACGCACGCACGCACGCACGCACGCACGCACGCACGCACGCACGCACGCACGCACGCACGCACGCACGCACGCACGCATGCACGCACGCACGCACGCACGCACGCACGCACGCACGCACGCACGCACGCACGCACGCGCACACACACACACACACACCTATCTATCTATCTATCTATATATATATATATATATATCGTTATTTATTTATTTATGTATAATATACTATACGATAATAAGCATAACAAGAACAGTAACAAAGATCATCATCATCACAGTACTACTGATAAGACATTAGTAGTAGCTTTGGGGGCTCCCTGGTGAGATCCGATAAGTCTCATGATTCGGGAAGGGCAGCCTGAGTGGGACAACAACGAGTTCAAGTTGATGAAGCTTGGCTTTAGAGAGTACTTTTTCGGGTTTAGGGTTTCGGGTTTAGGGTGTTTTATATAGGGGGTCGGAGTAATTAATAGCATTCCGTTCTGGTCCCTACATAGCTTCCCTAGATATTTCTACTTGAGAAGGCGCCTATGTTAGGGTGGGGGGGGGCTGGCTGGGGGGGCTGGCTGCGGGGGCTGGCTGGGGGGGGGCTGGGGGGGGCTGGGGGGGCTGGCTGTGGGCTGGCTGGGGGCTGGGGGGGGGCTGGGGGGCTGAGGGGGCTGGGGGGGGTGGGGGCTCTTTTGGCGCGACCCCGCCATAGAGCCGAAGCTACAAAATGCCCTTCCAGCCAGGCTTGTCCAAGCAATTCTACCCTGAAACCCTGGACGCCCTCAACCCTCTCAACTCTCGACCCTCTCAACCCTACCCTCCCAAACTCCCAGCAAACCCCCTACCGCCTTCAGCTATCCAAGTTGCAGGGGCCACTTGGGCGACCCCATACCCACGTCAAGAGGGTTCATAGCCTGCGCAGGTGTTTATAGTGTTTATAGCATATAGGTCTTGCAGGGTCTAAAGGGTTTGGAGGGTTTGGAGGGTCTGCCCAGAACTTGCAATCCCCACCCCGACCCCGCTTCAAGACCCTAAACCCTAAACCCTAAACCCCGAAACCCCTAACCCCTAAACCCTCTCCCAGGATCCTTCCTGCGACCTGGCTCGCGTCTATCGGTGTAGGCACCATCGGCGGTGGCCTTACTTGGTACCGCGAAGAGTACATCGCCGACCCCGTGATGTCACTCGGTAGGAGGACAGAGCCCTAAAACGGTCCTTAAAACATCCCTAAACCCTAAACCCTAAACCCTAGACCCTAAGCATCAGTAAGTATCCCCAGGCCTTCTTGAACATCCCTCAACCCTAGTCCCCTAAGCCCACAGCCCCGCAGACTCGCCAGGGTGTATGGTGTTTTGTGTCTATGGTGAACCCTGAAACCCTCAGCCACGAGCCCGAAACTAAACCCTAAAAGCCCCAAACCCCTAACCCTAAACCCTAAACCCCTAAACCCCTAAACCCCTAAACCCCTCAACCCCTAAACCCCTCAACCCTAAACCCCAAACCCTAAACCTTAGACCCTAAGAACCTGAACCCAGGTTCCTCCACGAGATTGGCCACAACTGGAAGCTGCACCACGCAGCCACCGCTTTCACCTCCGCGGAGTGCCTGGGCTGCGGAGGACAGCAAGCCGAGGGTTTGCAGTTTAGGGTTTGGGGTTTGGGGTTTAGGGTTTAGGGTTAGGCTTAGGGTTTCGGTTACTTATAGAGGCATTCTCATACACACATATATATATATACATATACATACATATATATATATATGTATACACCCCCACCCCAAGTAGGTTATCCGTAGTAGAAAACCTGAACAGGGTATCTACCCCGATCTGCGGACACTCGCATACTCGAGATGGTATTCTAACCCGACTCCAAACCCTCCAAACCCTACAACATCACCGTGTTTCTGCCGCAGCCAAGGTATGCTGACACAAGCTCTGCGATGGGTCGCTCGGCCATATTTCGAGTCCCAAGCCTTCAGCCGAACCCCGCAAGCCTGAAGATGCAGAACTTGAAGCCCAAAACCATAAAGCCCAAACCCTGCAAAAAAAAGAACCCTGTAAGAGGCTCCCTGTCCTCAAGCCCCTATAGGCCCTCAAACCCTGAACGCTGGAGCAGGGGAGGTCCCTAAAGCCCCTACACAGTAAAGCCTGAAAAGACCCTACATTCCCTATAGGGTTTAGGGTTTAGGATTTGGGGTTTAGCGTTTAGGGTTTAGGGTCCCCAAGCCCGCAAGGAACCCAAGAGCCCTGAACCACAGGCTATTGCTGCCGCACACGCTGCTACAACTTCCTTCACTCCTGGCAACTGGGTTTTGCGGAGTACACAGAGGAGCGTAGGGGCTTTGGAGCTTAGTGTCGGACATATCTGAACAACATATCTGAATCTGTCTGTTGTGGTCTCTCACTGTTTGGATCTGTTTGGGGTCTGTGCTGGCGGAATTATCTATAAATACATGCATGGTGTATGCAGGCTACATCGCGTACACGTACTATCGATACTCCTGGAGAGATATTAAACCAATGTCCGCCCACGGTGCTGACCCTAAACCCTAAACCCTAAACCCTAAACCCTAAACCCTAAACCCTAAACCCTAAACCCTAAACCCTAAACCCTAAACCCTGGCAGGAGGTGCTTCAGCTTGAAACCCTCACATCTGGCGAGTCCAAAGGGATCGCTCTCAAGGCTCCGGCTTCGGGCGACCTGAAGCTTCAAGCCGTGATCCCCCTGAAAAAAGGAACCCTTAGGTTTACGATCTGGGTTGAGGGTTTAGGGTTTAGGGTTTGGGGTTCAGGGTTTAGGGTTAGGGTTTAGGGTTTCAGATAAGAATCCTAAGGTTGGGATGTTCCCCCTTATACTAACCGTCCTTCAACAGGGATTCTCATAGGGGGGTACTTCAGTCCCTACTAAGGACGGTTAGTATACGGGGAAGGCAAGGTTCATCGGAACATCCCATCCCAAACCTGAGGCTTACAACCCCCTCCCCCCCCCACCCCCTATACAAGCCTTGAGATGCCTAATAAAGGCATTGGGGTTTTGAGGTTTTGGGGTTTTGGGGTTTTGGGGGTTAGGGGTTCAGGGGTTCAGGGATTTAGGAGTTTAGGAGTTTAGGATTTAGGGTTTAGGGGTAACCCTAAGCCGCATCTACTTTAGGGCTCGGGCGCTTGGAAGGATCGGGGGGCACCAAAAACACGAAGTATCGCTTTTTGGGGCACTTTTGGGGCTCTGTCCGCATGTTTCGACACTGCCCATGAATGCAACAAGGCTCCTACGCCATAAGCCCTAGATCCTCTCCTATCCTGAGCCCCCAACACCATGAAAAGCTGCCTTCAAGATACCCCGCACGGTCCAAGCCTCAACTGAAACTGAAGGGCTCAGGGTTCAGGGTTTGGGAGAACCCCTAACACCCTACCACCCTACCCCCCCCCCCCCCCCCCCCTACGCCCCCTGAGGCCATCGGTACAGAGGTCTCAAGCGGCGTGAAGATACAGATGCCAAGCTCTTCCGAAACGCCCGCTGGCTGGGGTTTCAGGTTCTGGGTTGGGATATTCCCCCTTATACTAACATTCCTGAACAGGGATGAAAGGACCCCCTTACCATAAGCATGCCACAGACCCCACCCCCAGCTTCACCACCGACACGAGCTTCCCAAATCCCTAAACCTTCACCCCATAAACCCTACCCTATGAATCCTAAACCCTATAAATCCTACACAAGCCCAAAAACCCTGTGAACCCTTTTTAACTCCAGAAGGCCTATAAACCCTTTTTATAAACTCCAAACCCTGCAAAGCCTGTAAACCCCACAAACCCTATAAACCCTACGAACTACGAACCCTAAACGCCCCATCAACCCTGTGAACCCCATGAACCCTTAACCCCCTCAAGCCTAAACCCTAAGCCCCATGAACTGTATAAACCCTATGAACCTCCTAATCCCTAAACCTAACCCCATATACCCTAAACCCCAAACCCCTAACCCCTAAATCCTGTAACCCCGTAAAACCCTAAACCCTTAAGCCCTAAACCCTACAAACCTTATGAACCCTACAAACCCTCTAAAGCCTCTAAACACTATAAAGCCTATAAACCTGTATACCCTGTAAACCTAAACCCTAAACCCTAAAACCCAGGAATGGCTTGCCGGCCTTCCTAGTGCTCTCCTGGCGTGCAAAGCTGGGCACAGACCAGCCGTTTCGAGTGCACTTTCGGGCTTGGGCTTTGGGGAGTTTAGGGTTTAGGGTTTAGGTGTAGGGTTTAAGGTTTGGGGTTTGGGGTTTGGGGTTTGGGGTTTAGGGTTTAGGGTTTAGGGGCTTCGGGCCTTGGGATAGGGTGATGCTTCCTTGTTGGGCTTCGGCATTTCAACCTTGGTTTTGTGGGAGAGGTGAAGGGGGTCTTTTGGGGTCTGGTGGGTCGACGAACCAACCCCCTCTATGTGGGGGTGCGCCGGTAAGGCAGCCAAATTTCGTGGCCCTTTGGTGATCGGTCCTTTTTTGAATCATGCACCACGAGGGGCCCACAATGCCAGGGTTTGGGTTTACTTTCCGCTCGTCGGCTCGGAAGAAGACTTCAAGATTTGGGGACTGCCGGAAAAGACTAAGCCTCACAAAGCCACGCTTCGGGTTTATGGTCCCTTCTTTAGACTTTAGGCTCTAATGGCCTGTAGAACCTAAGCCTGTAGACCTTACGACCCTGAGACCCCAAGTTTCTAGTTCCCGAACTCCCAGGTACCTGCAAGGCAGTTCCCACGGCAACAAGGTGAATGTGAACCACTGGGATGGTGACAGCAGGACGCAGGGTTCAGGTTCGTAGGGTTTGGGGTTCGAGGGTTGAGGGCCTGTAGGGTTTGTGGGGTTTAGGGTCGTAGGGTCTAGGGTTCAGGGTTGTAGGTTTTCGGGTTGTAGGGGTTAGGGTCTCTAGGATTTGTGGGGCTTAGGGTTGTGGAGGTTGTAGGGTTGAAGGCTTGGGCTTAGAGGGATAGTAAGAGGGGCCCTAGAATCTGACCACCTAGAGAAGCATGATGTTACGTCACCATACCTTCCGTCGACCCTCCCAGACTTGTTTGTAGGGGTTGCTTGGGGGTCAATTGGTTACAACTTCTTGGTTCAGGGTGTAGGGTTTCGATCGCCATCTGCCTCTTGCTCAAGCTGCTGCTCCCCTTTAAAGCCCCAGAAGCCTAAACCTCAAAGCCCGACTGAAGCGAAAGCCATAGACCCGAAACACACAAGACTGGATCACTGAACCCTAAAACACTAAACCCCCTAATCTCTATATCCTAAACCTAAACCCTAAACCCCAAAGAGTCCCCGCACCAATAAAGCCTTTTGGCGTGGACCTCCAAGCTGTAAAGCTCACATGGGGGGTTTAGGGGTTAGGGTTTAGGGTTTAGGGTTTAGGGTTTAGGGTTTAGGGAAAGTTTAGGGCTAGGATCCCCTTGTAAGCAAGGACCCCAAAAAAGGTACCACTACTTTCGGAAGCCCCCACATAGGACGGATGCTTCGATCACCTTCCTGCTGCACGAGGTGCGTGTGTAGGGTTTCTCATTTCGGGGGCTGAAAGCTCAGGCTGTACGTTTAGGTTTCAGGGGGTTGAGGGTTTAGCAGTTTAGCGGTAAGTTAGGGTTTTGGGGTTGAGGTTTTGGCATCCGAAGTCTCTGCGAGTTGCAGCTACAGGCTCGGGGAAACCCTAAACCCCACCAGACTCTCAACCCTCGGCCAACCGGATGGACAACACCCCCTGATCCCCAAACCCGAAGCCAAACCCCCACAGGGGCCTTAGTAAGTAGGGCTTATAGCCAGGGCAACCATAGGTAGAGTGAATTACTTACAACCGCAGTTCAGGCACTCATAACCCTGTACTCACTACGTCCCATGATCCTCCAAATAGACCTTCAAGTCCCTTGTCGAATGGCTGCATTGATCAATCGCCGCACAGCTGCAGCCTTTTATAACAAGAAACTTGAAGGGGCTACCCTCTCAGCTGGGCCCTTAACAAGACCTCAGCCGGCAGCCTTCTACTGCATGTTGGCAGGGTTGAAGTCTTGAACCACCGAAACCCTCGATGCTACTGCTAAACCCTAAACCCACAACTCTTCTAAGCTTCCCATGGTCAGACTGGCATGGCAGCTGTCCTTACCTTGGTGGCTGCCTCTTCTGACATATGCCCATTGTCTGTACTGGAGCTTACAGCCTTAGCCGGCACCAACAGGCACTTCCATCAGATGCAGTGGCCCCGTTCTTCGATTCTCTGGCCAGTTGATGATACGCTGCACTTGACAGATCGTGGTCAAAACATCTCGGCAACACTTGTGCGGTTGGGAGAACGGCTCCGGAGCCCAGCAGTAGCCAGGGCCGCCAAGGTGCTGGGACGTGCAGATTGCTTTTGCGCGTGGGCGGAAGAAGATCGGTGCCGTGCGGCATGGGCCATTGCGGCCGTGCTGTCTTCGGTCGCATGGTCGGACCTGGACAGCCCAATCTATCTTGCGCGTTTTTTGGCCTTGGGCTTGGTAGCTCCGGCACCCTGGGCGTCACTGTCAACTGCTTCGGCGGTTCTGCAGATGGTTTGGAGACTTGGTCAGGAAGCACGCTTACTTTGTCGATTAACTGCTCGTGGTTCTTGCTGTTTTCAGTTTCGTTGTAGCTGTGACTTGTTTTGTTGCTTGTTTAGCAGGGCTTGTTCCTGCAGCACAGGGTGGAGGTCTCAGGAATCGCCAGTCCTATTTGCTTGTTCTAGGCCAAATCCATGTCGTGTTTGGGTGAAGCTTTGATGGTCCTGCGAACATGAAAGAAATCACCAGTCCTAGCGCCCACCTAGGTTTGAGCGGAGCTGCAGTGATGCAATGGTCCAGTTCAAGGAGGTGGGAATTGGCAAGTTGTTGGCGCAGCTTGTTCGGCATGCATCAGCTGCAGTGCAGCATGTTGCCCTGCACGCGATCGACCACCTAACGGTCCTATCGTGTGAGTACACTGACCTCTTGGAAATTTCAGCCACAGATGCTGTCCCCATGGTGATCTCGATTGCTCAGTCGGGCAGCTACACGAACAAACTCTTGGCCGTTAGTATTATTTCTGGACTTTCGTTTTACGATGCGGAGAGGCTTCAGTCGGCCATTCCCACGCTTGTGCATCTACTTGGCCACCCCAAAGCTAGAATGAAGGATGAAGCCGGTGAAGCGCTTTTTGTGCTCATGAGCGCGGGACCGGATGCCTGTATGGAAGCTTTCAAGCATGGGTGCGTCCCAGTTCTGATTGAGAACCTGCGGTGCTACAGCTGTCAGCCTCAGCCACTCATACGCTGCTTGGGCATATTGGCAAGACAGGGGGTTGGCCGACAAGTTGCCTTGCAACGTGGCATCTTGCCACTTCTTCGCCAACGCCTCGAAGAAGAAACCAGCGGGTTTATGGCAGAATGTATCTTGGACCTTCTGCGGGCCTATGGCGATCATGTCCCACAAAGCTTGGCGTGAGAAACATTTGTGCGAAAAAGGATCAACCATCCAAAGGCTCGCAGATCTCTCGCAAAACTCCGGATGTTGGCGCAAGATTTTTGCTTTCAGCTGCTGCCACGTTTCCTTCCAACTTCTAAAGTTTCAGCGTCCCGAAGCTTCAACAGCTGCACTTGCAGGAGGAGGGTGCTTGAAAGAACCGCTCCAATCAGGGCATGGAAAGTTCTGGGTTGTAGGATGTGGGGCCTCAGCCCGTCAACTTCCCCAAAAACCCAAAACCTAATCCTCGCTTGAATTACTTCAAGCCCAGGGCAGCTAGGTCTCGGTTCTGAGTTTTGCTTTTGGTGCATACAGAAGCTCTGCCTCTGGCCTACCTCCCGCCTAGGGGTAGGCCTAGGGTGAGGGCAGGCCTAATGCGACCCGTGCAACGACTGAACTCGGGCCTTGACTTATGTATCCCCCTGGCCTCTCTACATCGTACACCCCAAGCCCTGAACCCAGTCCCTGGCAGGTTATTTAGGGTTTAGGGTTTAGGACGTGGATCCAATTTCTTGTAAGCCTGCGGTATCCTTAGGAACGTAATGCGAGGGCTTTTCAACTAAATTTGCTTCTGTTGGTTCAAAGGCAAGCATAGGTTCATGTAGGGCCACAGTAGCTAGTTTTCAAGGAAGGTTGGCTGCTTCGCGTCTGTTAACTGGGGGCTTGTGCACAAGTGTGCTGTTTCGTTTTCAGGGTTATGGGTTTAGCGGGGTTTTGCATTAGGTTTTCCGGGAGGCGCTGCTGAGTTTGAAATGTGTGCAGGGAAGTCAAATTTCCAGCATGCTGTAGCTGTATTTTTTGGGTTGTTGAAAAGACGGGTCCTGGCCTGGAGCGGGGGTCCCTCCACCCTAAAAGTGATTCAGATACAGCTTTCACAGGCATTCCTTTATCAGCAAAACTGCCGTCAAAACCTAAACCCTCTCCCTGCAGCCAGTACGATCATCTCATCCAAGGTGGAGAAGGGCACTACGCTTGTCATCCAGGATACCGACAGGAACTCCGGCTGAACCCCCCTTTAGCCCCAAAACCCCCAACAAATCGAAACAATGCAAACCCCCTAAGCCCCTAAACCCTGGACCCTAAACCCTACCAAGCCCTATTACTTTTTCTTAGGGCGTTGGTTCTCGTTGTTTATCCCGACCCCCGGCGAACGTGATTTTGTCTCGTTTGCGCCCGGGTTTTAGTGTGTAATAAGGCCTGTTCCTATCGTGCTGACATAGCTGGATTGAAGGCGCTGACTCTCTCAGTGCACGTTTCTAGTTCTCCCTGTTTCGAGCCCTCGGTGCCTTATCCCGCTTTCGATCCCTCTAGGTTTAGGGTTTATGGTTTAGGGTTTGTGGTTTAGGGTTTAGGGTTTAGGGTTTAAGAATCCCAGACTAGAGGGTTCTTGTAGTGTTTCAATGAGAAGTTTCCATGGATCTCAAAGTGGAGCAGGTCGGGCACGCGCATTTTGACGGACCTGAAGATGACGGTCAAAGGACCCTCCCCACAGCCGTGTGGTGTAGGGTTGAGGGTTCAGAGATTTCATGGTTTTAGGGTCTTAGAATTTGGGGTTTTAGGGTTTTAGGGTTTAAGGGTATTAGGGTTTTGGGGTCATTAGAGTCGCATGTTGTTCGGGAGGTACGATGTCATAAGGCTTCATAGGATCCTGCTCACCTGCCACTTTGTTTAGCGTGTTTAGGGCCGCAATTACGGCTGAAGTTGAGTGATTTTCCGTTTTCAGCAAGGGGCCATCTGTGACTCCTTTCAAAGTTGACTCTGCAGGCTCACGGTATGACCTCACGAGTGACACCGCGGACATCGTGCTCTGTCGGCGCTTGAGCACAGAGACCGAGGTGGGAGTTTCCGGGGGCTTCGGGCTTCGGGTTTAGGTCTTAGGGTTTCTTTAGGGTTTAGGATTTAGGGTTTAGGGTTCGGTGTTGCGGTTTAGGGTTTGGGGGGTTCAGGGCTGTGGTGCGTGAGGGCCTAAGAGCTCAAACGCTTTGGGCTGACTCGGTGTTGCCTTGGCAGGGCTTAGGGAAGTTTAGGGTTTAGGATCTAGAGTGGGTGTCGTGGAATCGGGGTGCCACGGCTCGCTCAGCCCTGGCCGTAGGAGTGTGACTTGTAATTACCAGAAAGGGGCCCGGAGCCAAACCCTGTCTGATTTGGGTTTAGGGTTTTGCAAACGGTTCAGGGTGTTGGGTTTAGGGTTTCGGGTTGAGGGTTTGCACAGTTTAGCATGGCCCCTATGGCCAGTGCGTCATAGGGACAACCATGGTGCTGTGGCTGCGACACTGTTCTACATCCTGCTAGATCTAACGCAGCCAGAGGCCCCGAGCACTCAGCAGTTCGCCACACACTCTCCACATCTTCAACACTTGCTGGATGAAGGTTTACGGTTGTGGGTTGAGTCAACATAAGGGGACGCCCCTTCAGAACAAGCTCCGCGTGCCTGAAGCATCCTGTCCAAAGCAGCATGTTTCACCTTTTTCTGCACAATGCGCTTGCATGCAAATGCCAGGCCACCGCCACGGAGGACCTGGCAGCCTGTCCTGAGCTGCACGGCATCGATTTCCGGGATTTGGGGGGGGGGGGGCCTTAGGGGTGTTCCTTGGGATGTTCCCCCTTGTGCTAACAGTCCTTAATCGGGATTGTAGTACCCCCTAGTTTATTGCCTATTAAGGACTGTTACTGTTAGTATAAGTTAAGGGGAGCATCCCAAGGTCTTCCAGTTTAGGGATTACTTCTGTAGATTCGAGATCGTGTCCTCTGCAAATTCGATGACCTTCGCCCCCCAACCTCAAGCCTCATGGCAGCATCCTGAAACCTTAAATCCCACAGGCTGCCTCCGTACCCTAAACCCTAAACCCTAAACCCTAAACCCTAAACCCTAAACCCTAAACCCTAAACCCTAAACCCTAAACCCTAAACCCTCCACCTTAAATCCTCAACTTGCCGAAGGCCTGGCGCCACGACGACCCCAGAGCCCACCACCACAAGCACAACCACCGCCCTCACCGACGTTAAGGCTGCCAGGGTGCTTACAAGGGTTCACCAGGGTTTAGGGTTTAGGGTTTAGGGTTTAGGGTAGGTTTCTACCTGGGCTTGTCAGGGCGTTGTCAGGGTTCAAAAGAGCGCTTCAGGGTTTCTCAGGCGAGAGGGCTTCTAAGGGTGCACGGAGGTTCAGATGCTTCCCAAAGCCCGAGAATTCCGAAGCCAGACACTGAAAACCATCTCCACACCCTAACCCAAGCAAACCTTAAACCCTAGACCCTAAACCCTCTAAGCCCCGAACCCGAAGTGACTGTCGCTGGCACTGTGAGGGCACGTTCACAGTGTCGGGCGCGGCTTGCTCAGTGCTCTCTTCGACAGATGGGGCATCCCAGTTGCAAGTAGGGTTTAGGGTTTAGGCCTTAGGGTTTGGGGTTTAGGCCGCGAATCGTTGAAAGGCTCTTTGGATGGGGCACTCTGCCGGGTACCAGAGTACCTTCGGACGTTGGGGTTTAGGGTTTAGGGTTTAAGGTGCTGCTTCCGAAGCCCTAAACCCTAGTTGTGGAGGTGTACCTCAGCTGCTTATGCCAATGTCTTGCCACATAGATCAGGAGCAGCAACCCTAAACCCTAAACTCTAAAAACAACGACGCCCAAAGCCTGAACTCTCCAAGTGCATCGACGGCAATAGGGACCGGAATCCAGAACTCCCCGACAACCCTAAACCCTAAAGCCCTAAACCCTAAGCCATCTTGGGGAGATTGCCGCGATGGCCCCAGCCATGCACAGCGGTCCGGCTGGGAATTTAAACCCTAAGCCCTTAACCATTAAACCCCGGCCCGAACCCTAAACCCCAAACCCTGAACCCTAAACCCCAAACCCTAAACCCTAAACGCTAAACCCTAAACCCTAAACCCTAAACTACTTACTCATACAACTCCCAGGTTGCAGGCCTCAAGGCCGGACTCGCATCGGCCCTCAACCTGGACGTGACGCAGGTCATCGCGCTCGAGGTGCGGATTTGTCTGCGTCGGGCTTAGGGTTTAGGGTTTGAGGGTTTAGGGTTTAGGGTCGTTGGTTTTGGGTTCAGAGGGGGCGGGTGGGGTAAGGAAATCACTTCTTCAGGTTTTTGAGTCAAGGTCAAGAGGGGTTGGACCCAGAAACCCTGAGCCCCAAAACCTGAACTGATGAAGCCACAGCAGTTTGGGGGGTTAGGGCTTAGAGTTCAGTTTAGGGTTGTAGGTTTTAGGTTTAGGGTTTAGGGTTTGGGGGTTGTGTTCCGGCCGAGGAATGCCTGAACCCTACAATAAGCTAAACCACGAGGGATGCATCTCGGCTGGCAGGTCAAGGGGATGTCAGGTCAGTCTTCATGTTGGGGTTCAGGGTTCAGGGACTAGGGTTTAGGGTTCAGAGTTTAGGGGTTAGAGTTTAGGGGTGAAATGGTACCCAAAGATGGAAGCCAGAGTACGAACACACCCGTAGGCCCTGCTCTGAAAACCTAAACTCCACTGGATACACTGTCCAAGACCTCAGCACTTCAGACCCTTTTCCCTACAGCCTACAAATTCCTTCCCGCCCCAGACCGCTTCCTGTATGTTACAACGTTGTGCGCAAAACGTGAGCCATTGTGGGGTGTAGAGAGGGGCACATACTAGGAGGGGAAGGTTCTTGCCGGCTTCCGAACTGGGGTCAACCGCTGCCACCTCTGCGTTTGCTACTGCCCGTCAAGGGGCCCTTTTGCCCAAGGGTGTAGTGATCATCTGTGACCCTAGGTTACGATCCTGAGCCCTTATCCGAAAAAACCCTAGGCCGAAGCCTTAAACCCTATTCCCTTCACCCTGAACCCCCCTGAAGCCTGAACCCCCTAAACAATCCTGAAGCTTTGAAACTTTGGCAGGTGCCCTGCGCCCGGCGTCTCGAAGCTCGGTCTCTGCAGGAGGCGAGTGGGATCGAGCATGTTGGGCCCGGGGGCATGGGGAGTAACCCAAAGCCACTGTGGTTCTAGCAGTGCTA